GCCATAGATCTTGATAGTGGCCAAAATGGTGCCGTAACTTATCAACTAGCAGAGGTATGTATTGGCATCCACTAAGCTCTGTCTATGCTATAAAATATTCTTTGACAAAAAACTGTTGTATGCTCATATATAGTCATGATGTGCCTATATATGGTGACGATGTGATGTCATCATGACCATATTTGGGCATGTCATATGTTTTTTTACATAAAATTTGATAGTCAGGGCTTTTTATTCAAAGTCTGTCTACATCTGTAATAAACATACTGTTTTACAATATTATACTGATGGAGTTTTACTGTATAATTATTTTACGTTTTTTACAGGCATCAGAACTGTTTGAGATATCTCCTTCATCAGGTGAAATTATCCTCATCGGAACATTGAATTTTGAAGAATCCGCAAGCTATCAGTTAAGAGTGCGAGCCTATGTGAGTAAATTATCAGAAATTAACATGAAAATACATATGGTTTCTATATGGGGCTTGCCATGCCAAAACCAGTATCAGCAACCAACATAAGATAATTTACTTTTTAATACATTCATATTCTCCACATTATAAACTATAAAATTTATTCATTTACTGGAATCGACTTATTATTGTCAAAGTAAAAGTATTACAGCTTCTCTGTACTAAAGTATACAATATTATCACATTTTTCTGCTAATTATTCAGTGTAACATATAGCGACAGTATGCTGGTTTTGGGATGGGAAGCCTTATATAGGAAATTAAAAGAACATGATTGTGGCCAGTGTTAATAAGAAAACGCTTTATCAAATTTAAACAAACAAACTGTGTTCTATGACTAACTATGACATATGTCATTATTTTGGCCTTTGTTGGAAAGTTACTACAGTTAAATTTTGTCTAAAACCCAAAGGTAAAAGATTGACTATAGATTTTAATTTGTAGCAGTTTTCTTTGATTTTTTTTGTCATTTTGATTACGATCACTTACTGCCTGTATAAAAATTTTCAGGATGGTGGAGTACCTCGTATGGAAAGCGAGGAGGAAGTGATCATTACAGTAGGAGATGTTCAAGATTCTGATCCGGTGTTTGTCAACATACCCTACTCACCTACGGTAGATGAGGAAACATCAGTTGTAAGAGCACAAGTTTTGTTAATATTAGTTTACACCATTGTAGATGTATTTTTAAAGTCAAGTGTATTCATGTACTAGACTGTAATGAGATTCACCAAGAATAGGGTGAAGAGGGAGAAATGTACGAGATCCAACTTTTTAATGTTTTTCACAACTTATTCTAACTTGTAGGTCTGATGAAAAGATTTTTGTGCCTCCCACCATTAAAATAATCTTTAGAACAGTGATAGTTTGGAGAAAAACAAAAATTGCGATGCCTCTGAATGTCAGTCATTTTTATTTATTCTCTCTTTATACTGAATGACACTTTCAGTGCTAAAGCATTGATTTCCAATGTGGTTCAGTATTAACAAATAAGAAAAATCACACAATGAACTTTATAAAGTATATACAAGGTAAAAAAAAAATAAATAATAATAATAATTATATACATTATAGTTTAACATAACAATAAAAAAATTTAAATAAAAAAATATAGGCAAGGTAAAGGAAATATTTGTTTTAGATATTACAAACCTGATATAGAATTTTTAAATTTTGAAACTGTCATAGATTTAAAGTTTATTTTAATATCATCTGGGAATTTATTCCAGAGCTTAGTAGACCGGTATACGAAAGTTCTTATACCTTGCATATTGCACTCCAAGACTGTTCTATAAGAATGTTTTTACTTTGACTTTTAGTACAATGTGAGTGCAGACAGTCATTAAACATAAAATTATTTGATAGGTAACATGGATCATAGTCATTTAAACACTTAAAAATCATTATAAGTAATTGTTGTTCCCATTTTTCACTAAGTTTGCTCCATTCTAATGCATTTAAAATATCAACAGTTGGAGTTTTTACGTCAGCAGACAGTAAAATTCTTCCCAATCTATTTACAAGAACTTGAAGGGAATTGGAAAGATGGGGCTTGCCTACTTGTCATACTTTGACTATCTCCTTCCATTTTCAATCATAATGCACATTATTCAAACCTACTATTTGTCTTCTAGGGAAGTGTTGTTCAGGTAGTTAGTGCAGAAGATCAAGACGTTGACAATCCAAATATAATTCAGTATAGCATTATTTCAGGTAAGTGCTACAAGACTATTCCATAGACCGTTTAAGTGCTTCTTGTTCTGCCATCAAAGGCTAATATACTCAACACATTCCTCATCTTGTTTTATTTTATCAACATAATTATTTTATATTATTACTTTGGAGAACTTTTTTCCAAGTTTAGAAACCTGATTCTTGTGAATATTCATACGTAAGAAGCATTGCCCTATTTCCCTCATCCTTCAAATATGATGTTAAGCAGTTAATCCTGGGTCTCTGGGTGGGTGGACTACTGCAACGCAAGCATCGGCCCCAAGGGAGAGTGTCCCTTATAATTAGCTGAATAACAAAGATTGATCGTTGTCAAATATGACAGTAATTAATACACTTCAGATCACCTTTTCCACTATTATATAACAATGTCATTATTCATAATTAAAAAAATGATATTTCTAATATAGGGAATGAACAGGGGTTCTTCAGCATTAACGCATCAACAGGAGTGTTGACTTTGGCCAATATGATTGATCTGGAGTCGGGTGCACCATCAACTTTTACAGTTGTGGTCAGGGTAAGTCTAATCAAGTGAAACCAAACTTTACTAGGGGTGGCGCGGCAGGTGGCCTGGCGGCCTGGATCGAGCTGTCGAGGCGGCCTGGCACAGCTGGCGGGGAGCCATAAAAGAAATTAAACATGGTGGATCTGAGGTGGGTGTGTCTGTTGTTGGGGAGCAATAGACTAGGTGTTGGGGAAAAGCAACTGGCACCCCTGTCAACTACATTTGTCTATTTTTTTACTAATATACTGTACCAATTAAAACTGGTTTCTTAATAATAATTATGTAATGAACAATAAAATGAACAATAAAGAAACAACCATTGATGACTAGCTTAAAATACTCTCAATTATGTTACCATTGAGATCAAACATTATTACCTATCAGATTTTCTACTATAAAGAATACATTCATTCCCTTTCTGCCAACTACTGTAGTTTTAAAAAAATCAAATGAAGGTTTTAATGTCTGTAGATTGCCCTGCAATGCAGTATGTTTACTTGTGTTTGAATAAAAATGGAATACATTTTAGACAAATCTTTAAAGAAATATAATGTTTTTACATCTTTAGGCAACAGAAATAGGGCCAACAGGAGGTGCTAGCGCCATCACAGAATTCACAATCCGTGTTGCTGATGTGAACGACAACCTCCCCATTTTTAATGCACCAATTTATGTTGAAACTATCTCTGAACTTTCACCTGTGAACACGCCTTTGAATCTGGGCATATCGGTCAACGACACAGATACGGTAGGTTGGTCTTCTGTCAACTCTGCGAAAGTATATTTGAATTTCATTTCTTTTAGTTCGATTTTTTTCCTTCTATCTATGGTAAGTTTAAAATGGCATTTTTTGACGGAAAGCACAGTACAGTATATGTTAATTCAACTTACAACAAAATGGTATATTTATTATGCTAGTAGTTTTATATTGATGTAGTTCTAAGCTGGAATTTATAAAAGAATATGAGCGTATAATATAGTGGCAGCCTGTGAAGTGAATAGCGAATAAATATAATTGTTCCACTTGAATCAACCCATAGTATATGGAGCTGTATCATGACCAGAGTGTGCTTTCCAAATAGAGAACCCTCTAATTCTTAGACCTCGCTAATTCGAGACCACTTGTTCAAAGAATAAAAAACCAAGCGTCAATCTTTTAACACCAAGCTAACCATCTAATTGGAGACCGAATTTCGAGACCACTTCAAATTTTTAGGTCCCCGCTGGTCTCAAATTGAAGGGTGAAGTGTAATAACAAAGCTTTCCAGGTACACAAATAATATATTCCTTGGTGTACATATGTTTTTGCTTATAAAAAGGATTAAGTGTGAATTTCTATTTGATTCTAGGGCATTAATTCTGCGTATTCGATCAGTCTAAGAGGAACCAACAGAAACCTGTTCAGTGTGGCCCCTACCAGTGGTATTGGACTGTCCATGCCTGTTGTAAGCTTAGCAAGTACATTGGATTATGAGACAAGCAGTAGTTACACTGTTGAGGTAAACATTCCAATTAAAATTAATGATATTGATGCAAATGGAATATGTAATAATAACAATAACAAATAGCAATGACAATGAAAACAATAAAAATAACAATAATAAAAATAACAATAATAACAATAACAACAATAACAATAATAAATAACAATAATAATAATAATAATAATCTTTAGACTTTTGTATCGCTTCATGCTAATAAGGCCTGTTGTAAACACTTATATTATTACCACCGATCATTATTTTTAAAGCACATATGAAACCCATACTCAGCTCCTTGGAGAGAATTCCATAATATTTCAGCTGTAATATTTGTATAAATATGCAAGTGTAATGTATTCTTGATTTTGTTGATTAAAAATCAAAAAATTTCTTTTTTTAGATTTATGCAACAGATGCAAATGATCCAACAAAGGAAACCTCATCGACAATCATTGTTAATCTGATGAATGAGAACGATAACTCGCCTTTCTTTTCCCCACAATCATATCTTGTTAACATACTTGAAAACGTGACTGTGGGAGCAATGGTGTTGCGAGTCACAGCAACAGATAATGATGGCGATCTAGTGACTTATGAAATTTCGGATAATCCCAGGTTAGTTGGATTGGATTGGATGTATTCGGTGTAAACATTAAACATAGCCCACGAAAGTCTCGAAGACTTATTTCCAGTGGGGTTCTTCTGGTGGTGATTGGGTAGTACACCGAGAGACAATCCCTAATCTTTTCCCAAGAGTGTACTGCTTTCTTTAACGTGCACATGGGCCGTAAATGCTCACAGGACCAACGGCTGAAGTGTCTCATCCAAAAGACGGTGCGCTATTGTAACTTGTATTTCAGCCCTCCAGCTGAAACACAAGGAGAGGCAGCGATAGGAATTGAACCGGGGACATAGAAATCCCCATGGTTCAGTGCACACACAGTGGCACACCAGATTAGCTGACTGAGCTAAGCTGCTCTCTCTATTTATTTTGTTTATATGTTTTTATATTCAAAAAATAGTAAAATTTTAAAGCATATATACGAAAGCATATACAGTACTAACGAAGTACTGACATTACATATAAATTATTTATTACACAGCTAAGAAATGTTTAATATTGATAAATTAATAAATTTAAATTAAAAATAATTTTGCACTGGTGAGATCTACTGATATCACTGACAAAAAAAAAACTTTTTTAATGTATTTTTAGCGCAAATGAGGAGATCTAATTAATAAATCTTTTTTAGATCTACTGCCTCTATTATATTTCTCTCATGAGGCTGATTGATTAATAGTTAATTAGTAGATCTTTTTTTAGCTTAACTCTCTCTAATAACTGCCCTTATGAGGAGTTTTAGAAACACTAGGCTGATTGATTAATAGTTGATTGATTAATTGATCTTTTTTAGCTCTACTGCCAATATACTGTCCTCATCGGAGCTTTCGAGATTAAGTTTCACTTATTGTAAGAGAGCAACATAATTTCTAGCAGTGGATATTATAAAGTATGCTGTATGTGGATCTACTTATTTATCTGCTTTATTTTATTTCAAATTTCTCTTTTCTGACTATCTTACAGTTTTAAAATTGATGCTGTTAGTGGAAATATAACGACAACCCAGGAATTGAATTATGAGGACTCAACTCAACATATCTTTACCGTACTGGCTTCAGATAATAGGAATCCACCAAGAACAGCAACTGCACAAGTAATAGTAAACGTTGAGAATGTCAATGATAATGCGCCACAATTCCCGCGTGATCGCTACGATTTGAACACTTTTGAGAATGAGAATTATGGGCCTGGTAACCCGCTTTGGACTCTCGAGGTATATTTTTAGACAGTAATTTTAATGTTTATAACGTTTATAAGAGAATTATTTATATGGAACTGATAGAAAAAATGAATTTGTATAATTTATTGTTTTATGGAACAAAACAATACATGACACTTTAATAGTAAAGTAGAGATTGTGGCACTATACAAAAATCGTATTGGATGACATGAAATTTGGAGAGTGTATTTGCTGTTGTGTGTAAAGAAATTTACTTTGAAAAGTGTATATAAACTTTGTTAAAGAAACACAAAATTTGACACATATGTATATGTGACCATCTCTAAAATACCCGCCATTTGTCGCCATTTCTAATTTTTACAAGCACCCAAAATTTTGAATATTTTCGTGTTTTTGCATTTTATAAAAGAAAATATATTGAAGAACAATTCTGCAAAATTTCAATCATCAAATCTAACTTGAAAAGTGTAGTAATTATTATTAACATACAAATAAATAATTTCTGAATCCTTGGAAGCTGTTTTCTCAAAACTTTCATGGCTGATACCTGCAATGAATTAAATATTCATAACTTTTCTGATACTCAACCAATTTCCATCAAATAAACACTGTTTTCATGTAGAAAGTAAAATCACTAAAGAATCAAATTTAAATTTTTCCTACAAACGGCTGGATTTGCCAGAGCCAGTCACATATAACTTTGAAAAAAATCTTGATATTTGTAGGCTACCGATTCTGATATGGACCCCACCAATCTACCATTGTACAGCTTCCTAGTGACAAGTCCTAATGGAGACACCATGAAAGTCTTGGAGTACATGGGTCTGCGTATTGAGACAGTGTCCGGCGTGGGTTACATCTATACAACATCCCCAATAGATTATGACGTCCTAGATGGGTCGATTTTAGTTACTGTTATCGCTGAGGATTCTGATGGTTTATCGGACACAGCAACTCTTAACATTATTGTCTTGGTAAGAGCAAGGAAATATCTGGATTTTGTAGAGAGAAAATATATATATATCAGCCTCTTATTGGCCAAATTACAAGATACCTATTGTTAATTAGTACAGTTAAACCTAATACTTGATATATAATGGCCCCAAAACCACAACTCAGAAATACCGGAATTGTGTCCGGCGGGGGATAATTTTTACCTTGTATAGTAGTTTAAACATTATAATCTCAATTTTCAAGCCCCGAAACCTTGATTCAAAAATATGGAGATGGTGTCTGGCGGGGGATAGTTTATTACCTGATTTTGCTACTTTTTCACCTAGTTATTATTTCTGTTATTTATTAATGAGCGGACCCTTGCAATTATATTTCTAATTAAAAAAAATGGGTTTTTTTTACAAATGACAATAAATATACTGAATACTGAATCCCTGAAATATTTGATTTGATTTTATTAGTTTTTATCAGATTTATTAGTTTTAGTTTTAAATCATTCTGATTGTTTATTATATTTTTTTAGGATACGAACGACAATGCCCCAGTGTTTAACCAATCATCATATTCCTTCACAATTCCCGAGAACATACCTCCTGGTCAGAGCGTATTTCAGGTTGTAGCTACTGATGGCGATAGATCACCACAGTACGGTACACCCTCTCTCCGCTACTACATCAGTCCACCAAGCTCCACCTTCTCAATATTTCAATCCACCGGGCAGATCTTGACTGTGAGATCTTTGGATTATGAGGCTGGTGATACAAGTTATGAATTGCAGGTAAGATGATGATATGTTTACTCTGCCATTTATGAAGATTAGTCAAAAAAATACAATCTTAATATATACAAATGATGTACTATTAGATTAAATGTGAGGTCTCACTACAAAATGAGTCTCATCGTTAGAAAATAAAAAAATTAGTTAATATTACATTTTGGTAGATCACATTATAAGCTTTAATTTGGTCTTTGAATGGCTTCCCTAGGATAAATAGATCCAGAGATGTTATCAATTAAAATTTAGGTGTATGAGAACCAGGTTTTGAGAAAATCGGCCACAAAGATAAAGTAACCTCTACAAATAATAGGACTGAATTACAGAATATGCTAAGAGAACACCGTTTTAGTAAGAAAATTCACTTAAAAAGTACACAATCATAAAATATAAGTATCAAGTTATTCAAAAACATTAAAATCAAAATTTTGTAAAAATGTTGCCTTTGACCTATTTTGGTGAATACAGTATCTCAATATGATTTCACCAACGATGCATCTCATTTCGTGGTGAGACCTCACAAATATGGTTTTAGGACACCCCCTAGACATCACCCAGGGCTAGACAATTGTTTAAGCTATGTTCCCTCATGAGCTGCACTGTTTCTGATTAATTTTTAGAAAGTATTGGTGTAGTTGTTATATTTATTTTATTTTTTTATTTTATAATAGTTTGGGCAAACAACAAACTTTACAAAGCTATCCTAATAATATAAATAAAATAAAAATAGTAACAGTATCTGCCAGTCCAGGAAAGACAAAATAGCCAAAGGTAGTAGTTAATGTATTCCCAATTAAACAATTACTGAATAAAAAAAAAATCCATCACTGAAAAAAACCTAAATTTGTCTTGTCTTAACATTGCAAGAATGTTCAGTCAACACTAGTTTCATCAGTGCGTGGTAGGCATTTGAGTATTCCTATTTCATTTTGACCATTTTAAATTTCATTTAGGTGATAGCCATTGACAGCTTTCAACCCAATGAGATGACCGGCACAACTACTGTTAGTATCACCATAGAAGATGTCAACGATAATGATCCACAGTTTAACCCCAGTAAGTATAAACCACAAGGCAAGTGTTCCCTTTTTGCTTGTGCATATATTTGATACAAAATGGCAAAAATTATAGTTTAATAGTTTAATATTTTAACTATTACATATCAATGGTTTGGTCCATCACACTTGGTTGGTTTTGTCTATCCAAGTGTCTAATCTAATGTAAGATTTGTCATCATAGCATTATATGTTCTCCGTTTTGCAATGATAAACATATGAGTGATCATGTGGGGTTGTTCTTATACCATAGTTTTGCAGCAAGTGACGGTGATGGAAGAGCAAGGCACTGGGGTCTTCGTTGCTGATGTCAATGCCTTTGACAGGGATAGTGCGGGTCCCAACGGAGACATCACATATTCTATCATTAGTGGAGACAGTGAGGTGAATAATTTGCATATGTAGTCAGATAAGGTTTCTATTTCCAATGATTGAGACACAAATTGAAACAAAGCGGTTTGTGCTGTTTTAAAGACTTTATAAATGCTGAAATTAACCAATTTATGGGTGTTTGTAAAATACTGTATATAAAAATGGTATTTTATGCATCTGTTAATTGTTCAAGAAAATATTTTGTTCTTATTTTCGCATAAAAGTTAAATACAGGTCCCCCTCCAATTAAAGACCACTTTTCTGTGGTCCCAAATTAACAAATGTCTTTTATTTCTATTATTCTAATTAGAGACCAAAGCTGTTAAAAACATGAAAACCCCAGTCATAAAAGTGGTCTTTAATTGGAGGTAGACCTGAATTGTATATGCAATTTAAATATTTAATTAAATTTTACAAATTCATTAGCTCAAAATTGGCAATATATCACACTGGTTATGGTGATGCTTTCATAACCTTCCTAATAATTATGTTTCTTATAATCATAGTCACACTGTCTTATTCATTTCACAGGGGGAATTTACAATTGATGGAATGACTGGAGAGATAAGAACAACCGCAGTATTGAACTATGAAAACACTCAGTCTTACACTCTCCGCATTTTGGCCGAAAACAACGCCACAGCTGTTCCACCTGCGTAAGTTAATTTGTAAATGCAAACTTTCTTATCATCACAAGTTATGTTAAAAATTTTAATAATGTTTGTGTAATTATAAGTTTATTTTGAATTTAAAATGGCATACTATTTCATTTACCAAAGAATCTTGATTTTGGTTTCTAGTTGGAATAGAATAAATGAATAATAAATATATCAAGAATTTTATTTAATATATATATATATAGGTCTGGTTCATCTACTGGAACAGTGATTGTGTCTGTTGTGGATATAAATGATAACAGCCCTGAGTTTGTAGGTGTACCTTATGCTTTTGAGGTATCAGAGGTAAGAATTTGTGTCTCTTCTATAATTCTGTGGTGTCTCTTCTTCTTTATTGCCGTTCTGCCAAATGATTTCTTGGCTGCTCTACAGATTAGCTGACTTAGCTCGGTCGGCTAATCTGGTGGTAGGCACTGTGTGTGCGCTGAACCGTGGAGATCTCTAGGTCCCTGGTTCAATTCCCATCGCTGCCTCTCCATGTGTTTCAGCTAGAGGGCTGAAATACAAGTTACATCAGCGCACCGTCTTTCGGATAAGACGTTTAAACCGTTGGTCCTGTGTGCATTTAAGGCCCATGTGCACGTTAAGGAACTTGGTACACTCTTCGGAAAAGAGTAGGGGATTGTCTCCCGGCGTACTGCCCAATCACCACCAAAAGGACCCCACTGGAAATAAGTCTTCTTCTAGACTTTCGTGGAGTATCCTTTGTGTTTACACCGAATAAATCCAATCCAATCCAATCCATACTTATTCTTGTGTTAATATTTTCCATATCTTTCTATCCTGGCAATTTTTTTGCCTAAATCAATGTCATGTCATTCATAAGGTTTTAAGTACTTGCCTTTATTGCTGTTATTTTTTAATTAAAATTGGATTGCAAATGAAGTGTAAAATTTGTTTTATATTTTTTAGGACCGGTCACCAGTTAGTACCATAGGGGTTGTATCGGCAGTAGACCGAGATTCAGGCGTGAATGGGGACATTACTTATAGCATAGTAGCTGGAAATATAGGTATTGATCCAATTCATAAAATTAAATACTAATGTAAATACTAATTATTGAATATTTTCATATCAATAGTTTTTTTTTTTAACAGGCCTAGTATATATTTTTTGATTCCTCAAATCTCAAATCCACTTTATTGCAATCAATGCTATGTGTCTTTGTAGTATCTTTGTAATATGCTGTCCTGTTTTGGGATAGTGTTAATAACATTGATTTTCTTTTTTCTTCTTTGACTGGTTATTTAATTTATTTATTGTTTTGTTTATTGATAATAATTCTGTTTTAGTTTGTGGAAGATTGGTTGCTATTACTATTTTGATTTTTTAAAAATTAATATAAATAAATCTGCATTTTATTAATCACTCAATAAAGAATATTTAAATTAATCAAGTTATGACTGAAACTTGGCTAATTAAAGTATAATAATTAACTTGGATTGATTTATCTTTCAGAAAACTCTGCTGTTGTATTCCAAGTGGATCCGAATTCAGGGGAAGTTACACTTCTCCGGAGTCTTGACCGTGAAACTAGACCGTCTTACTCATTGACCATACAAGCGGCCGATGGCGGAGCATCACCACGTATTGCTTTAGTTAACGTGCCAGTGACAGTTCTTGATGTTAATGATAACAGTCCCGTCTGGATTCAAAATACGTATGATGTTAGCATTACGGAAAATTCAGCAGCAGAAGAAGTTGTTCAGGTACTACTTCTACTACTGGTACTGATAATAATATTAAAATAATAATTATAACAATTGAAGTCATAATCAGTAGTGGATTTGATCAGATATAAAACTTGTAATTCAAAATAATTAAATAAATTCATTGATATTAGCTTTTTTCCAGAAGTGCACCCATTATTTGAAATGACACTCAATTTTGAACTTTTTATAGGTCATAGCAACTGACGCAGATATTGGTCAGAACTCGAGATTGATTTATCAAATTCTTTCTCCAAGTCCATACTTCACCATCAACAATGAAACCGGCCAGATATCAACGACTGGACCAATTGACCGTGAAGCAGAGAGTACCATTAACCTTGTTGTCAGTGTCAGTGACAGTATGTATATAATTTATTTAATAAATAATTAATCCCACTCTCCTCTTTTCATTTACTAAAGGCTAGACACAACGTCATATGAGCGTTTGTGAATTGTATAAATGCTAACCACTGGAGAACTGTAACTTAAATTACATAAAATATTAGACTTAAATCCTACTGTACTAATTTTGGTGTTGTTTTTGCACTTTATTTTCAGGTGGTTTCCCATCACGTCAGGCCACACCCTTTGCTCAGGTGAACTTTGAAATTATCGACATGAATGACAATGTTCCGATGTTCGAGCAATTAAATTATGTGTTCGAAGTCGAAGAAAATCAACCAAATGGAACAATAGTTGGGCAGGTGAGATTGGTTTGTAGTGAAATTTAATGGCAAAAAGATGGTTATGGTGCTGAACTTTAGTCCCAGAGTCCAGAGTGCAAGTCCTTTTAATCATAAGTGAAAACAACTGCAGTTCTTAACCCTCATTTATGACATATTATCACCAAGTTTATTGTATTCAGTAAGTTACAAATCACACACAAATGGATGTTTTTTTGATTAAATTGTTACGTCTTGTTTTAAAATCAGATTTCAGCAACTGACTTGGATCCAAGTGATGATTTAACATATTCCTTGCAAGGTTTTGATGAAGTGTTTTCAATAGACTCCAACTCTGGTAATATCACCACACTTAAGCCACTCAACCAGGAGGATGTGTCATCGTATACTCTGATTGGTCGTGTCTCTGATGGACTAAACATTGGCCAGGCCAACATCGTTATTACAGTAATAGATTTAAATGATAACGTTCCGGTGCTGAATATTCAAAGTCAGAATGTAACCGTATCAGAGGGTGATCCTTCAGGGACATTTGTTACCAGAGTTAGTGCAAGTGATGAGGATTCTCGTGAGTAATAATTGCTTCATAGTATTTTCTTTGGAAGATATTGCGTTTTATCTTGCAAGGTTGTTGATTTTGTCGTCATTGCCGAGTATGCAAAGCTTTACTTGTGGCTGGCTTTGGCACAACCTTGCATTTATCAGCATTTCAAATTTTGCACTAGCAGCCGTAAGAATCGATATTTTTAGCAATTTCAGGTTTTTCTGTTTGGTATGAAAGGTATTGGGGAAAAATTCTACCACATATAAATAAGTAAATTTATATCGAAGGTATATTAAAATCATTTTAAAAATACATACCTGAATATTATATTACTGACTTTAAATCTATTTTCAAGAACCTACTATCCAATGAATTAAATATTCTTAACTTGACTAATACTTAACCAATTGTTAACAAAATAAACAATTTTAAAATATTAATACCTAAAGAATTTAAAAATACAAAAGATTCCAAAGATTCAATTTTAGTTTTTTTTTTTTTTGCAGACAATTGTAAAGTTTTGCCAGAACTGGTTACATTTATTATTATTGTATCATGTAATTGGCCATTTGACATGATTGAAATATAAAAAAATAATGTTTAAAATAATTGTTTATTTTACCTTTAATAGATACTCTAAAACTAAAAGTAAATTAAAATGTATTTTTATGTAGACTCACCAATTACATCATTTTCAATCACCAATGGGAACGTAAACAATGCATTCATCATTAAGTCTTCCGGTGAAATTGAAACGTTGCAGTCGTTAGACCGTGAGGTAATTCCATACTACTCACTGACAATCGAAGCTACCGATAGGGAGATTTCCGGTGTTCAGCATACAGGAACAGGGACCGTTGGCATTATTGTTACGGATGTGAATGACAATGGACCAAGGTTTATCCAGAACTCGTATTCTATCAGCGTGCCAGAGAATGTCAACCAACAGACATTAGTTACGGTTCGTAAACATTTCCTAATTTTTATTGCAACCCAAAAACATTGATGAAATCATAAAAAAATTCATATAAAATGTTGAATTGCTCAGTCTATTTCGTGAATACTTACCTGGGTAAACCGACTAATCGCCATTGTTTCTTTAAAAACACCCCAATATTGTAGAATATTTTGAAGAATTATAATAAGTCATCACTGCTGAATTCACACTCTTAGCTACAAGAATCCCTAAATTTGCCAACTTGAAATATACAAATTAAGTAATTCATTTGAATTTCAAAGGTTATTAGATTTTATACTTGGTAGTACATCTTTAATTATGAAAATATAAATATATGTAAGTCAAAGGAAACGAGGAATCTGTTCTTTCATGCATGGGTGTATATAGGCAACTAGGGTGATTCCATTATTTACTTTCATGGATGAGAGTTAAGTTTCAAGGGCACTTATCAGTTTTTTTTTAGGTATGTATCTCACTCTCAAGCTTGTTTTCCATACGATTGCTAAACGCTATCACTGATAGCTTTCGGTGATGCTGATTGGTCAGTTGAATCAGGGAGCCTTCCCAATTGCGTCAGGGACCACTACGCTGTACAACAATTGCGCTGAAAACACTGTAGCGACAGTGTTACGATTTTAAGGAAACCAGGCTATAATCTAACATCGCCTCTGATTTGTTGAATTTCTTATAGGTACAAGCAACAGATGCTGATGAAGACTTGAATGCACAAATCAACTATCGTATAATCCTAGGTAATATTAACAACGCTTTTGAAATCGACTCAATCACTGGAGCCATTCGTAGAGGGCGTGCACCTTTGGACCGTGAATTCATTGATGCGTACTCACTTGAGGTTGAGGCATCAAATCCACGAAGCAATCTCCCTCCTGATTATGGTAAGACTATAAGTGCTGCTGCTATTTATAAAATTCGTATCACAATTTTTTAAGTTACTTACAAAATTAATTTGGCAATTTGAAAATGAGAAAGCAGAGAGTAGTGCTAAGCTATGCATTTCAGTGGTAAGTAAATCAGCACAAACACGGGTTACGATTAGTCTGTATATTATCATTCTTAAAATTGTAAACATTGTGTGATTTTTGTGATTCGTGTAATGCAATCGGTAGTATTAATAGCTCTAATGGTATTTGGAATTGATCAAAGTTAAACTGTGATGTAAACACACGTTCACCTTTAGGCTTGCAAATGCATGTCAGGGAGCACTATTATAGTCATATTCTTTTCGCTCCTATAACAGTGCGCGTTAATATTGCTGTTGAAGACATCAACGATGAGGTTCCAGTGTTTAGCCAGTTGGTCTACCAGCGTATAAACCTGGATGAGAACTCTCCAGTGGGGACATTCGTCATCTCAGTCATTGCAACAGATTCAGATACTGGTGCAGGAGGAGAGGTTAAATATTTCATTGATCAAGGTAAATACTTTATTGTCTTTTATATGTGGCAAAGACAAGCCAAACAAGTCACTTGTCGCAAATAATGCTTCGGAAATAATGGCCTAAACATGCTGGAATGTCTACATTTTTAAAATCTATTTTATTGCACTAAACTAACCTATATATATCTATTCATCATGCTTTGTTGTTATTTCCCCATTTCAATGTTAAAACAACCATTTTTAATGATTTTGGTGATGGTTTCTGCCTGATAAATGCCCAAAATCGTAAACTTTGAAGGCTGCTTTCTCAAATATTGTTCTTTAAACAGCTGTATATTTAAAATCCTGTAACTTCATAATGAAATGTTGTATTTAAATGATTCTTTTACCATTTTATAACTCCCATTTTACCATTTATCCCTGTATTAACTTTTGCGAGGAGGGACTGATTTTGCTTGTCTTCGCCACATATCCTTGCTTGTCATTCACTTTGTATTAAAATGTGAATTGTTTGATTTATCTTATTACTTTGAGAGCTTTCATCTGCTCATTCACTTACCATCACTGGTTTAATTTGTCTTTTTTTTTTTCATTTTTGCCTGAATTGCTCCAATTTTGAGAAGAAAAAAAAAAATGAAAATTTTGTACTTAATTTTACAGGAAATGAAGATGGTAAATTTTTCTTGGATGAGGATACTGGAGAAATCACTGTAGCAAACCCTTTGAACTTTGAATCAGTTAGTAATTACACTCTTGTGATCAGTGCAAGAGATCAAGCCTTACCGTTCAACAATGGTACGTCTACAGTTATTATCCAACTTAGCAACGTCAATGAGCAGACACAGTTCTCACAGACACAGTATCGAGAAGCAGTACCTGAAGACACTCCTCCTGGTACCGTAGTCTTGCAGGTATAACAATCATTTATTGCAAATAAATATTTCAGTCATTGTTCATTTATTAACCATTTTTATTCTCATATTTGAAGCTGCCCTAATCTCTAGGTGTTTGCCTGTCTATTGTTAGATATAGACATATTTTCCCTGATTATCATTCTTGGTATTAAAATAGGCTATAGAATGGTGGTTCAATTCCATTGTGTCACCATGGTTTTTAAATATCTGATCAGTTTTAAGACTTGGAGGTCATCTTGCTTCATCAACATATTTTTCTTCAGTATCAATTGTAATGAAGCTGATGTTGTAAAGAAGCATTAGAATAAAATAATCTTGGCTTATATATTTTTTTTTTTCAATTTTATTCAATATTTGATAGGCAGCATATATGCTGAATTGCATCAAATTTACAGTTAAAAGTTCACAGTTAAAAAAACACAACTAGATTTGAACTTGTCACTGAGGATGAGTTTGGTGATCCGCCGTACTTTGACCCTCACGAAGCATGTGCGGATTGAAAATTATTATATGCTAAAACATGCTCTATTTAGTTTTTAAAAAGAGTAATTTTGAGCATTTTAAGGACTAAGAATGTGTACACTTACGTCTTAACGTCCCTGCGCACAGTAATGATATTAATACAGTGTCACAAACCCAAAACATGTAACCGAAACGTAATTTCCAGCTTCAGTATGTGCTGTGGGCGTGGAAATGAGCGTACGGCGCGTAAATTATGATAAGTTTTGGAATACTGAAAATGACCCGAAAGGGTGCACTACCCCAGGGAAGAACACCCCTGTGTTGATCTGGGCCTACATGGATAAATAAAGCTGAACTTAATCTTGATATTTTAATTTAAGTAATAATGGTTTATTTGTTATATTTCAGTTTTTTTTTTGTATCAATGTCTTTTAGGTATTTGCCACTGACCCTGACAATAGCGCCATCATCTACAGTATCAGCTCCAACGCCCCTTCCTCCATACGTAACCTCTTTACAATTAACTCAACAACAGTAAGTTTTGACTTTTAATTTCATTTTTATCTAAACCTTAATAATTGTCTTATTGACTTCCCCTTGGATCCTGTGGCCAAGTTTTCTCATGCAATCCCTATTGAGACACAGAGGTGTACATACAGTAAGTGAGAGATATTACTCTACACCTTTAGACTCTAGATTTGCCAGTGTTCTTATGTTTCTTTTATTAATTTTATTAATACATTAAAACTTAATGAGTCTATTGCATGAATACTTACCTGGATATCCAATAAATGCTTAAATTTGCTTTGGAACTTAGCTTTCGAGCATAAAAGAAAAGTAATGGACTCGCCCTAGCTCGCCTATATACGCCCTGCGTGAATGAAGAATATTCTCGTTTCCTTCTCGCTGTAAAGCAATATAGATGAATTGAAAGAAAAGCTTACCCATTCTATGTTTAGAAGTGTTTTTACTTAATGAATTTGTTTTGTATGTTGAGTACAGAAATAATATTATAGTATGAGTATTTTTAAATATTGTTGCATATTTTGATGGTTTTAAAAGACCTCTCTTATTAAAAGTTCTTTCTTTATCAACAATTAGTGAAGATGAGCCAATTCTGGTAATATTGGTCTTTTATTGTTTTTTTTTCAGGGTGAGATCAAAACAAGTGGACCGCTAGACAGAGAAGACACTGACCTTTATACTTTCAATGTGTTAGCCTCTGATGGCGGTGCTGGGGAAGGATCAGCAGAAGTGAGCTTGAATAATTTTATTCTTCAAGACATGCCTTTAAGGAAATTAACTGACTCATAGTGTTTTTTTATATATTTTCTTTTATAATTGTAATTTATATGTCAGTGTATTGTTTTTTATAAAACGTAATATAATGTATCTTTCTTTAGGTTCGCATTGATGTTGTAGATGTGAATGACAATACACCAACATTTGATGTAGGTCCAGTTGTCCTCGTCAGTATCCCTGAGAATGTAGATGCAAATTACCCGGTGACATCATTCCGGGCAACTGACCCTGATGCAGATGTTAACGGACAGGTAAATGTAATTTTATTCAATGTATTATTTTTATTGTTAAAATTATAGAAGAATGTGGCATGGAGTTCTTTGAGCTTCCAGTGTCCAACTCTGATCGCAATGTTGTGCCAAGTTGAACTACCTGCTTTAGCTTTTAAATTAAAAATGGGTTTAGGCTCAGGGTACCGCATTGACAAGGGTATAAATTCCTCTGGCACTGTCAATGTGTAATTAACATATTAGATGTAAAATAAACAATTGTTATTCTATTTTTTTATAGGTCACATACAGAATTGAATCAGGAAATAATCCAACAACATTTTACCTTGATGAGGGCAGCAATAACCTGATTCAGATGAGAACCAGTCGATTGCTAGACAGGGAAGAGCAAATGGAATACAGTATTGTGGTATGAAAATAGCTACTATCTAAAGGCTGAGCAAATAATTTATGTTTTCTCAATACTTACATGGATAAACCTACAAATGCCAGTGTTTTTATCCAGTCAGCATTTTGTCAGTTCATCAAGACTAAATCTCACTCACAAACTACCAACATCACCATTAATGTTTATATATTGATTGTTGCGCTAAGGCCCGCTCTTTGGATGTTTGTTAATACACAAAATGACCCTCATGGCGGTCATAAACATACAGCATGCTGGTGTTTGCGAGAAAACTGCCTTATCCGGGCCTCACCTATTAAATAAGACATTCTGATTGGTTAGTTTTTAAGTTTGATCGACACTCTTGGAAGGTCCATTCAATATAGGGTAATGCTCTCCAGTAGTGCCCAAACTACATCATAACAACAATGATTCTACAGCTTAAATGTATTCTATTTAAACAAATGCTTCCTAGAATTTAAACATATGATGATTTTGACTATTACATTTAAATATATTTTGACATAATTTGACAAATCTGATTATGAAAATTTTGTGTCTGTTGTCAAGGTGGTTGTGTCTGATGCTGGTAGGCCTTCGTTGAATAACTCAATCAGAATAAATGTGACTGTGGAAGATGTGAACGACAACCCACCGCAATTCGCAGAAAACTCATATACTGGCCGTATCAATGAGGTAAGTATGACCTTTCATCACAAATTGAGCCATGCTAATATTATCCAAAATATATTAATAGAACTTCAATTCTGGCAGAATTAATTTTCTTCCATGGTGTCCATCCTACTAAAATATTACACCTCGGTGAACTTCTGTTTCCAATTCTCTCACTCTGATTTCCTCCCCAGAATGCAGCTGAAGGAGCACCTGTTGTGAATGTGTCCGCAACCGATGTTGATGCAGGTAACAATGCTCGTCTCACATACTTCATTGTGTCCGGTAACCAAGGAAATGCATTTGAAATTGACCGGAATACGGGAGAAATTACTACATCATCAAATCCAACGGACAGGGAACAGCTTCCAGTCTATAACCTCATGGTTCAGGTCACAGATGACGGTATTCCTCAGTTCTCAGATTCTGTCCCGGTAACTATCATCATTTTAGACGAGAATGATAACACTCCAACGTTTGACCCAGCTTCTGTAACCTACACGATCCCAGAAGGCCCAGCATCACTAGGCATAACCTTTGGACCAATCACAGCCAACGATGATGATAATGGTGAAAACGGACGTGTTCTATACATGCTTCTTGATGGAAATGGAACATTCGTCATAAATTCTGGAACAGTAAATATATTTCCATAGACTTCTAAACATTAGTTTCTTCTCTTTTGGTCTTTTTTTTTCACCATCACCATCCATTATTAAATTAATTGTCAACTTATGTTTATGTTGATGTTCTATATATTCATTTCCGAAGGGTTTGTTAATGGTTGTGTCTGAGTTGGACCGTGAGACTGCTGCAAGTTATGTTTTAACTGTTATTGGAGTTGACCAGGCAGTTAATGAGGCTGACAGGCTAACAGGAACAGCTACAGTGAGTTGGAAAACAAATTATGACCAAAGCATGCATCAAGTTTTTATTGGTCGAAGAAATTTCTGTTTTCTATAATGATTATTGTGTATGGTTACAGGTGACAGTGATCGTCGAGGACTTGAATGACAATGCACCCTCATTTGAGCAACCATCATATGGACCAGTGGATATTGGTGAAGAACAGCAAGGACAGGTCATTGGTGTTTACACAGCAACAGACGATGATGAAATGCCTGTCATTACTTACAGTATCGACAGCATGTCACAGGGTAAGTGTTACTATATTGAAAATTATAGAATACTCACTCAGAGAGTGTAACACAAAAAGCTCTACGTTATTTCCCAATATGTATTGCTATATGATCAGTGATGTCATTATTGATTTAATGTGATTGGGTTTTTCTTTTTAAGGTTTGTTTGAGATTAATCCAAATACAGGTGTTTTAATGTTAAGACCAGGTGTAACACTTGATTATGAATCAGAAACATCCCACGTGATTATTATCACAGCAAGTGATGACGGCAACCCACCACTAACAGGAATGGCAAGTAGAAATCTATTGAAATAATGTCTGCTGATTAGAGTAAAGTCTTGTTGCAAGTCGTATCTACAGTGTCATTTTTTCTTAAGTTGTGTCAAGGACTTTTAACTGTTACCAGGATAGGAAACTGGCTGGTTGAAGCCGTCTAACTTGAATTAGCCTTATGTGCGGTATTGTTATGCGAATGAGCCAGATAAGCACAATCTGCGCATGCTCAGAAAAACTAAACTTTTCCTTAGCCACACGATGGCCACTAGGCGTACAGCTAGGCCTAGCCCTGAATTACGGTACGGTAAAACAAAGCAAAATAAGAGTACTAATTTCACTTAGCATGCAAATCAATCATACTTACACACTTAAAAACAAACTAGTCTACCAATAAAATCACCTGCAAGTTAAGATATAAGGCAAGTATGTCTACAAATTTGATTTTAAATTGATGTGATTAGGCTAGCCTAGACCCGGCCTAGGCCATGTCTAACCGCTTATGAAAATGCAGAAAAAAGACCCAAAACAAATTGGAATGAAGTTTTCAACTAACTAGTGCATTAAAATTATTCATATACTTACTACTTACCTATATAAAATTAAAATGTATTGTTCACAAACTCCAATATTTGGATTTTAATACGCCTTTTCCACGAATCGGTAGACATCGCGAAGTGATGACAAACTGCCTAAGTCAGTGGTGCGTAACAAACAAAAATAACATAAGCTAGGCCTAGCTGCTGTACGCCTAGCCGATACGAAGTGTCACCAAGGAAAGTTTAGTTTTTCTGAGTATGTGCAGATTGTGCTTATCTGGCTCATTTGCATAACAATACCGCACATAAGGCTAATTCAAGTTAGACGGCTTCAACCAGCCAGCTTCCTATCCTGGTAACAGTTAAAAGTCCTTGGTTGTGTAGTGCAATTTAAAGCTCCAATGATGCTGAAACTCAAATTCATACATGTGTATGTTTTGGTACAGTACAACCAACCAATGGTTTAAGAAACTTCAAAGTGTAGTCATGCAATGAAAATCCAGTGGACTATACAACTTCAAATTCTAGTATATAATGCCACTTATACAATTAAAATACAATAAACTTTTAATGATTACTTTTTAGACATTGGTTACCGTGAGTGTGACCAACATAAACGACAACACCCCAGAGTTTGAAGGTGCGCCATATGCAGCAGCTGTTGATGATGACTCGCCACCAGACACTGTCATCACCCAGATTACAGCCAACGATGCAGATAATCAGACAGGTGGTCTCTGGTATGACATCATTCAAGGAAATCCTGATGGATTGTTCCGAATTGACCCCATGGTAGGAACATTGATTTGATTACGCTGCATCATTTGGTGGATAAGACATCAATTTATTCCTTTTGACTGCCACCTCCCTCCAGCTGCCTTCCATTCCTTCACTTTCTCATGTTTATGGTCATCTCCCACACTGTCTTGTTGCATTTTTTGCCCATGTCAGTGCTGTTTCTTCCTTCTCTATTCATGAAACATATCCTCACAAACTCTGTTTACATAAACGTGTCTTCATCAACTTAGTATTATCAATAATAGTTGTATCAATCCCTTTGTAAATACTAACCTCAATAAGCCAATATAATATGCCCATTTAACCTTTGAGTAATTTACCTTAAAAATAAAGGAATCATCTGTCCCCTGCTATACGTAGGGGACAATCATGGCTTATAGCCCTCATTTGTCATTTTGCATAATTTGTTACCATTTTAATCATTTTTTTCCCAGACTGGTATTGTGTACTTGAATCAATCTGCTGGTAACTATGGTGGTGAGATGTTTTCATTGACAGTTGAAGTAAGCGATAACCCAGCAGATCCAAGCAATGCTCAAACTGTAAGTGCATGCATTTTTGTTTTTGTGTTCAAGAATAGTATAATATCCCCAGGTGTATACATTCAGTGACCAATACGAATACAATAGTTTGGTGATAATTTAGTTACATAACCAGTCAATTTAAGGTGTTCCAATATTATGAAAATATTAAAATGCTAGTATATGGTCCAGAAAATCACTGCACTTTCAAACTTCTATCAATTGAGTCATTTTATTTTAAAGTAACGCATTATAAATGTTTGATTGTTATTATTATTAACATAGAACATTCCTGATTTACAGAGCATAGCAACCTTGACAGTGACGGTTGTATCTGTGGAGAAACCACCAGAATTGACTTCTTCATTGTTCATTGGCAGTGTTGATGAGGGAGTTGCAGGAGCACCAGTAACAATGGTATGAGAACACTAATAAATAGTTTGTCAGCCTCATTAACCATAGTCCAACCTGTTTAACCAAAGTAGGATCAGTGACCTTAAGGAGCTCATTCTCTTTAGCCTTTACATTGTTTTCTGAGTAGAGCATCTACTCACATTTATTAAAGACTTAAATTTTAATTTTGTTATTTGATTTGAAATGTATACTTACTACTGACAATTAAAATTACACTTTCAGTACTGGTTTTAATACCTTCTGATAATAATTCTATTTTTTCTTCAACTTAGTATTTGTATCTCATTTATTCTAGGTACTGCAAGATGTTAGTTACACATTTGTTTCATTGTGTTTATATTGCTGTTCATAATTTTTCAGGTTCCTGTCATCAGTGTGTTAGGTGATCCTTCTAAGGTGACATATTCAGTCACTGGTCCAGATTCAGATTACTTTAACATTGACCCAGCAACAGGTAAAATCATTGACAATATGCTAAATCCTCTTTAGTATCATTTTAGGTTGCATTTTTTTTTTCTGTTTATCTGATATCTTCACATATCCTCCTCATGGTATAAGGCACATAAAAGACATGTGAGTCTGTAGTGTAAACCTCTGTTATACCAGAGGAGCAAGAGACTGTTTTTTTTATCTGATCTCAAAGCCGATCGGACCAGTCTACTCTACTATCAGCATGGTGTCAAGATGTAGTAGGTAACACAAGAGTAGGATACTGTTGATTATGTAATCCAGAGCAGTAAAATTTTAGCTGATAATGCAATAGTAGATTATGCAATAGTATACCATGCAATAATATACTATTGCATGATATACTATTGCATATTACATCATGCTATAGCAAAATAGAATATGCAATAAAGTAAATTTTGCAGCATATCAGGCTATAATAATTTATAATTTATATATAATTTGCCTTGTATACCTTGCAATATTAGATCCTACAAATATTCGATCATGCATTATTTGAATATTGCGGTAGATAGTAAATATATTCAATTGAAGATATATATTTCTTTTACATTTTCTTCTAATTCAGGCCAACTGACTACCAACAGCTCTCTTGATGCCGATACGAAAAACCTCTATGACTTTGAAATCGTCGCAACAAACTCAAAAGGCGAGACAGACACTGCAGATGTTCAAGTAATTATTACCAACCTCAATGACAACTTCCCTGTGTTCCTTCCACCTCAGATGAGCATTAATATATCCGAAGGGACAGTTGGTGGTGAGACAAAATTTATTTATATTTTTTTTTTAGAATACTTACCTTGGTTAAACCCATAGTGTAAAGCTTCTTTTGCAAGGCTCTAAAAATTATTGGAATTGGAACGTCTATCAGTAGGTGTACCGTAAGGGCCAACTCAGACAGCGTCGGCCGACGCAGCCCAACCTGATTTCTCGTCGGGGACAGTCTTAAGCCGTCTTGAGAAATATTAAACATGTTTAATATTCTACGACGCGACTGCCACTGACGCACACCATCGCGTCTGCGTTTAACTCACACAGGCCCGGCGCGACAACAAATCGCGTCGGGCTGCGTCATACGATGCTGTCTGTGTTGGCCTTAAGGCGCTATGCAAGTCTTTCTACATTACATCTAACTACATTACATCTGGATCTACAAGTGCATCCTAGAGTTTATACTGTATTGTATTCTAAAACGTATTAAAAAATATGAGTGTTGTGCTCATTAGAGCATGATATTCAAATCAATGGCAAACACTGTATTAAGCCAACATCTGTGATAGGTTTTCAATATATTGTGATGCAGCAGTCTTGGCTGCTTCCATTTGTCCAATCAATGTTCCTCTAAGTTGTGTGGCTCATCACATTCCTCTTTTGGCGTCACCTCCTCACCCGCCCTTGGCTAACAATAGACATCAGCTCTGGGTTAAATAAACACATTTTGGCGATAGAATTTATATGCACATCCAACTTTCCTATTTGCTGTTGCGCAAAAACAGATTTTATTAGTGAATGTTTTTTTTAATGGAAAAATTACATTACATAAAGTTTGAGATTGACTATTGCTTTTACATTGGTCAAATCAATATTATCTGTATCAGGTGGTAGTATGATTGAATCATTTATTTTGAGGGCCTCTTTGAGTCAGCTTCGCTGTAAGAGCCCCCTCATGAAATATTGTTGAATAAATAAATAAATAAACATTGTTTTCAAACCATTAATTTTCATAACAGGTGATATCATTGGTCAAGTGAATGCTTCTGATCCTGATGGATTCCCAATTACTTACTTTATTTCCAGTGGCAGTGAGGGAAAATTTATCATAGATCCCAATACTGGTGAAATTAGAGTAAGTCCTTGAAAAGCAAAGCAATTGTTTTACAAGATTTTCATTTTTTGTATTACTTTTTTAAATTGGATAAAATGTAAATTTTGTTACCATTCTAAATAATGAATTTCCAATTTAAAATTTAATCTCATCTTGATAATGTAAATGTCCAACATATTTGTATATTAGATTAGATCCAATCAAATATCTTGTGTCTGTACTTAATTGGACCATGGAGGAAAGAAACTTGAACCTAATTAATTCTAAGTTTATTTTGATATTTAGTAAAGTGTAGTAAGTGTACATTTACATGTTTCAAAGACGGAGCACAAAATCAAGCTCTCTGACTGGGTAAATACTGTTTCTTCTTTGTATCAGCAAATTTAACTTCAACAAATAATATCCTTGAAATGAATATTTGCAATTTTTTTCTTGAAATTCAAGGTTGCACCTGGAGAGACCATTGATGGCACGTCGTCATACACACTTACCATATCGGCAATTGATGGAGGAAACCCATCCCAGACTGCCACTTCAGTCATTACCATCAATGTAGAGAACGTCAATAACAGTCCACCGTACTTCCCATCTGATCAACTGTACCGTGTCGTTATAATTCCTGAAGATACCCCAGTTGGTAAGAACGTGGTTAACATTACGGCTATGGATGACGATAATGATGCTGATCTCGAGTACACAATTACGGACAGCGTAATGTATGACAGCGCCGGACGAGAAGTCATGCCATCAACAACCGCTAGATCAAACACTCAGAACTTATTTGTCCTCAATTCACAGACAGGAGCACTGACTGTTGACATGGGTCTGGACCGTGAACTTGTGGAAACAGTCAGGTTGACCATTGAAGCAACTGACAAGAATTCTGTTGACCAGAGTCAAGCTGATAGCGTTATTGATGGTAAGTATTAGTTTTGTTTCCAGGGGTCACAAGTCTCCTGGACGTCACAGAATCGGGAAGGCCTCACGTACTCCTGCAAGCAAGGAAGGATCTCCCGGAAAATAACCCATCTCCCGTACATTTCATAATATTTGTATATTTTTACTACTTTATTATCAATTGTCTCACGGAAGTCAGTGCTGATAGGAATCAACAGGCGCAGTAAAATAAAATTAAATATCTTATGAAAGCTCATTCAACCAGATTTCCTGGAAGGGATTTCTACCAACTTTGGACCCCTGTGTTTCTTTCTTTACATTTACTACGTGCAACACACCTGGCCCGGGATTTATCAATCTCAGCTTAGCAAATGTCTTACGTCAAAAAAGTTAAGATGTCCCTAATAAATATCTTAAGCTGATTTATTACCCAATCTTAGCAAAATCTTGGCTTAAAAATCATCTTAGATGGCACCAACGTACAATCGACTTTCTAATTTTAGGCAATTTTTAAGCTAAGCAATATGGATAAATTTGACTTAAGCAAAAAAATGGACTTAAGACAAATTTAAGCTGATTTCTAGTTTGATAAATCTGGCCCCTGCACTGACAACATCAAAGTGCTGAAATTCACTATAAATATATTTATAATTTTAATTATTAATTGTATTATCTGGTGGATTAATTAATCAAGCAATTTTTAAAAATTTTAAAAATAATGCATAATTTTTGTTTCTATTCCATCCAGCGATTGTTCTAATTCAAATTACCGACATCAACGACAACACTCCTGTTATTGAGCAGATCAATGTCACAGCATTGGTCATTGATGTTACTGAAAATGAGGAACGTGGGACGCTTCTTACAACGATTGTTGCCAGTGATGCAGACAAGGATGCCAATGGCATGTTGGAGTATCTTCTTGTTGATGAAGACACTGGTCTTGTTGGCCTGATCAGGGAAACAGGTACGATAATACAGGTTATGTAAACACGTAATTATATTTTCATCATGGTATTGATTGAAGATTTTGCCAAAAAAAAAGGGGCAATCATGGTGGGCTGCAGGGGCTGGGACCACATTTAATTTTGTTATTTTGACTTTTCAGCCCCATAATCATCCATCCCTGTGTATATTTCCAAATTTATTCAAACAGAAGATGATTGGAATAGATGTGTTCACAAAATTTTTCGACCATGGGTCTTTCTCAAGTGATCTTCATAAATTTAGTTACTTATAGTCAAAAAATGTTGGTTTGACAGTATCAAAATGATTACACTATTGATTAAGGTCTGTTTCATGAATATTTAACAGTTTTTCCAATCAATACCAGTAATCCCTTTATTAAAATACAGGGCTCAATTTATCTTTCTTTTTGGTGAGTAGCCCAATGGGATAGTTTACTGTATATTTCACCAGCCCAATCATTGGCTACATTTTACATCAGTAACATTATGTTCTTGGTCAAGCATACTTGAGAAGGAGTTTATAACTAATCTCTAGCCCACAGGGCTAGTAGTGTAAGGTAGGTTTACTAGCCCAGAGGAGTTTTCACTAGACACTGTACGATGGACTAGTACTAAATTGAGCTGTGGAATACCCATTGAAGCTAATAGAACTGTCAACATAAACTATTATTTTAAGTTGTTTTTTTTTTTTTTATCAAATTTTATTTAGGTCATTTAGTTGTAAATGGTGAAATAGACTATGAGCAAGTCCAGTGGTTCAACTTTACTGTGCGAGTGCAAGATATGGGAATGCCCCCATTGTTTACATCAATCCCAGTCTTCATTCGTGTCATCGATGTAAACGATAACAGTCCAGTTTTCCAAGATACGCCCTATGAAACTGTGGTGTCTGAGAGCGCAGGAATTGGAGATCCAGTTGGTGTCACTGTACTTGCGACTGACCAGGACAGTGGTTCATTCGGAGAGGTTGTGTACACACTTAGCGGAGGAAATGGAAGGTTTAGCATCGATCAAAACACTGTGAGTAAACAATATATTTCATATGACAGTAGATGTGTAAATATATTTATTTCTTTTTTACATTTTTTAATTATAAAAATACATAATAATACTTATACAATTTATAAATGATAGGTTCTTTCAAACTTTCATAATTTTTTAAATTATCATTTACTTGATTAACCATTCAAACAACTTTCTTAGTGTGTCAATAACATATTTCTCTGTATATTATTAAACATATTTTTAGGGTGAGATTTTTGTAGCTAACCAATTAGATGGAAACCAGAATGAATATTTCGTCACAGTAACAGCAACAGATAACCCTAATGGAGCCTCGACCGATCGCTTGACAGCTACTGTAGGGGTGAGTAACTTAAACTTAGATATTTTAGGAATCTAGCATTTGTTGAATACAAAAAAATTAAATAGATTATAATAGAATAAATTCCAAGTACACCACATAAGTTGTGTGAAATATGGATGTGGTACACTGCAAATTTATACCAATTATTATTTATCTGCCATGCGGTGAGCCTCAAATTTATACCAAATATTATTTATCCGCCATGTGGTGCAAATTTATACCAATAGACTTTGTACATATTGTCATAAACTAACTTATCGAAAAGGCTTTGTAAGTATTCCTTTATTTAACGTCAGACTTTTGACCCGTTAGATTGGAAGTAGAGTGAAAGAAACAAATGGAAATCTTGAACATTTTTGCATAGCCTTGTTGCGTGAACACGGGTCTAGCCCTAGACTAGAGAGCGGTACAATCAACCTTCTTCTTACTCATTATTGGTCATCGCAGTCAAAAGAAACCTCATATTCTACAATTCAGCAATTTAAGTTTATCCAATAGTTTAAATATTTCATATATAAATTGCAACAAAATGAATTGGTGACAGTGTTTAAGTTGAATGTGTACCTCTAAATCAACGACAATCGCTTAGTCAGCGCTGGACGTGGTGAGTCCTGCTAGCGATGGACCTAGGCCCCCTAGAAGGCCTGTCAAAACTCTTCATATTTTTAGTCTGAATGGAAACTTAAATAAAATCAACCTTAATCCCATGAATCTATGAATCATTCAAAATGTATACGTTGTTATAAAAATTATCTTCTATGGTAACTTCATTACATTTTAGACAATTTAATATACACCACTTTCAACTCCGCTCAATGCATTAGCATAGGACTTTGGCAGTGTAAACAACTTCAATACCCACTCGGTGAACTTGCGATGACGTCATCTTTTGGTGACTAATTCGGTCTATTATTGTATCACTGAGTGGTGAACTGCAAATTTATACCAATCATTGTTTATCTGCCATGCAAACCATTAAACAGTATTATTCAATGATACTTATCAATTTTAAATGATTTCTAGAGGTGCTGCAACTGGCTTAACAATGGCAACTGATCTTTATGGTTACACTAATTGTTGTGTTGTATATATGACTAAGTAGATGCATGAATTTATCCATTTCTGTTGATTTACCTGATTTTCTTTGTTTCATTTTATCAGGTTACAATTGGCGTTGTAATTGATAACAAATTCACCCCAATTCCTGATACGTCAACCTACTACTTTGAAATTGCTGAAAACACACCAGCATCGACATTTGTTGGTGAAGTGCAGGCCACTGATAATGATATTGGACAGGCAGGTGAATTGACATATGCACTTAGTGATACCAGTCCAGAATGTAAGTAACAATCAAGAGAAGATAATTTGAAATGCACTAAACAGTTAATGTCATGCTTTTTCATTTAGCCATCATATTCATTTTTAGAGTAGCAGTGTCTATTTTGTGAATTCTTACCTAAATAAACTGAAAATTCCCATTTTTTTAAACCAGAAAAAACCCCTTAAAAATAATAGAACAATCTAGCCAGGGTACCATATATCACATGTGCATCCTCATTCTTTTTTCACTTTGCAACGATATACACCTTCTCAGAAGGTAAAGATTAAATAGTAGTTTAGAACACCCCTAGAAAATAATAGAACAATCAACCCCAGGGTACCATATACCACTTGTGCATCCTCATTCCTTTTCTACATTGCAACTATAAACACCTTCTCGGAAGATAGAGATGGCCTAAATAGTAGTCTTAGTTATTTGTGTAGTGATATTGAGTTTTTGGTTTCAAAGTGTTTAAGATACGTCCTAAAGTAAGACAATCTCTGTAATTAATGAGTATTTATTGTAAAACAAAGCTTATAATGATTAATAAATTATTATTATTATCAATCAGTATTTTTCATAGTTTCAGTTAAGTAGTTTTAAGTTAATTAAGTTATGGTTGCCAGCACTTATGTACAGAGTCCATCTCCCTTTGTTGGCTACCATCTCTAGTGTATTGAGAGAAAAGAAACTTTGATATATTTTTTATCCACAGTAATCCTTTCTCATCTGATGATCAATGAGAACCTTGGTGTGATTCTCACCACTGCTCCCTTTGATCGCGAGGTTCATGGTGGTCGTCTTGAATTCACTGTTGTTGTGAGTTTTCAGTTTACATATTTTCTAATCTCTTTCTATCTAACACAATAGGCTTTTTTTTTTATTACTGTTGTTTTTTGTGATGGTTTTTAAAAATATTAATCCAATTAATAATCTGGTTCAATCCATCATTTTCTGTAGATATCTGACAATGGTACACCAAGAAAATCCAGTACTGCAAATGTGATACTAACCATCAAAGACGTGAATGACAATCCTCCGGTATTTGACAGCACAACTTATTCTGTCAGTGTTCCAGAAGGATTAGCAATAGGATCATCTGTAAGAATTAAATATGAAAGATTGATAAGAGAAGTTCGATGATTTGAATGAGTTACAGTCTTAAGATACTGCTATACAATATACCAATCAGTGATTTTTAGAATTGAATTTTGTTGATAATATTATTGCTATTTGTATTTTTGTATTACACCTTAAGAGCAGCAAAGCTATAGGGGCTTAATTAGTGGTAACCCTAATGTGTGTGCAGAATCATAGATGCACTAGTTACTTGGGCATCTCCATGCTGCCTCCTTGTTCTCTTAATAAGTACAAAAGTAATTGTAAAGTGAAAGAAAATTTAAGTATGATGTTTTACTTGTTTCACGTTCACTGATGCAATATGATGTGATATACTGGATATTTTTGTTGTTTTAGGTGTATACTGTGATGGCTTCTGATTCTGATACTAACAGTAGTGTAACGTACAGCATAGTTCAGGGAAACACCGGAAATGCTTTCATAATAGATCGTAAGTTCTACATTTTTATTGCATAATGCAATTTTTTTTTTTTATACAAAGTAAAAGAGATAAAAATGAAGTATATTACAAGCTACTAATATGGAACATATCTCTCACCATGCATCAGTGTTTTAATATTCTAAATAACAGTCAATTTTTTAGTATACTGTGTTTGCGCAGATATGCTGTGGAAGTGAAATTTCTGTGTAAATTGGAATGTGTTAAGGTTCACTTCAGTTCCTTTCATTTTACACGCACGCCCATACAGTGTGTTGACAGATGACCAATGGCTAGTAGCACCCTGTCCGTTAAGAGTAATTTTTTACCTAGTTCTGCAGTATACTAATGCTCTTATCTAATGCCTATTTTATATATATTCCTGTCTTTTACAGCATCATCTGGAGAATTGACCAATAATCAAGTGTTGGACTTCGACACTGTTAATCGCTATAACTTAACAATAGCTGCCACTGATCAGGGCGGTATGATTGGAACAACTCAGCTCTACATTGATATCTTGGATTTGCAGATTGGAAGTATTACATTTTCAGAGACGATCTACCGTGCCAGCCTTGCTGAAGACGTACCAGTTGGTGAGATAACTTTTTAAGTCATTCTTATCCAATAGTGAATACTTTATCAAATGCCAGATACTGTATATACCACACACATACATCCCAGACATCTGATTTAGTAGTAAGTGTTGGAATATTTTAGGCATCTCATTGTAAAGTGTTGAAATATTCTGGGAATCTCATTGGTTAAAATATCCTATGCATCTATTTGGTTGAAAGTGTGAAAATATCATGGACAAGTATTTGGTTGAAAGTGTGTAAATATCATCGACAAGTATTTGGTTGAAAGTGTTGGAATATCATGTGCATCTCAGTGGTTGAAAATGTGGAAATACTGAGGAAATCTATTTGGTTGAAAGTGTTGGAATATACTGGGCATCCCTTTAGTTGAAATTGTGGGAATGCTTTGACTATTGTATATAATTGTGTTGTAAACAAGTATGCCCCAGGCAGAGTAAAGTATTCATATCCTTAAGGTATTACTATTCTTAGGCTATTCTAGTAAGGTAGGCATGCCATGAATGAGTAGGTGTAGGGCATATACTAACTGAGACATCTCCTAGTTAGGGCCTACTCAGGCAGGTAGAGTAAGTGGTAAGTAAAATTATGGGTTTAGAGAGTAGAGTTGTTTTCAATGCATCTTACCACCTAACTACACCACTGATCCTTAAAACAACAGAATTTATAGCCCTCCTTTAAATTTGAATGTGAATTATGTTTTCAGATACCTACGTAAACCAGGTATTGGTGAATGACAATGGGAAACCCGTCATCGCCACATTCAGTATCGTCGATGGTAACGAGGATGGCGCTTTCATTATCGATCCCAACACCGGTACCATTACAACTAACAAAACTCTGGACTCGGAGACTAACTCTCAATACTTCCTTGTGATCGAAGCTAAAACCGATGATACAATAGCACAGGCTTTGGTAAGAAATTAGTCCAATTTATGTCTTGAGTTATAAATCTCCAAAACTCTTTGATTTTGTCTTGTTCGTTTCCACTTTGTTCCATTTTTTTCCTGTTCCTCCGCTATTTTTTAATCAGTAATACACATTTGCATTTAGAAATTTTAATATAAATGAAATCCATTTTGTAGATGACAGGTTATTGAATGCAATTTAAATTATAATGAAATAAATCATATCTGCATAGAAACATACAGTAATTTTTATAGTTCCAATACTATGTGAAGCACTTTTTATAACATAAAGTTAAAAAGAATACCTCATCAATGAAGATCAGATTTTCAACAATTTAACAATGAAGTCAACTGCTAAAATTTACCAGTCAGTGATGGTCAATTGTACTCTAGCAAGAGATCTCAAGTATCATATTATAATAATTGATTATAATAATAATGCTATTATTTTTTCCTATTTACGATAAATAGCTGCAAGTAGTTGTTACTGACGTCAATGATCAGGCACCAGTGTTCCAGCAGGCATCTTACTCTGTCCGCATACTGGAGAATACAGAGGTTGGCATGGAAGTGGAAGAAGTGATGGCAGTTGACAAAGATGCTGATGGTGGTACCATACTCTACAGCATCATAAGTGGAAATGACATGGGTAAGGTAGCTTGTTATCTGGTACTGGTATGGGCATTTATAATGCACCTCTTCCTTGAGGTTCTAAAGCATAGTTCTTTTCCCGGGTCATTAGGTCCACACGCTTTATGTGTTGCTGCTGGAAATCAGCGCAGGAGCAAGCAACCCCACCAGGTACCCAGTTATACTCCTGGGTGGAGAGAAGCAATGCAGATAGTCTCTTGCTCAATGACACAAGGGAAATGCACAGCGAGGGATTGAAACCCTGACCTCAAGGTCGGGAAACCAAAATTTTCCCGCTGCACCAAACCGCTTACTGTATTATTGTTGTTGTTGCTGCTGCTGCTTTTACAAGATGAACTTTATAATCTATATTATTATTATACATTTGTAGGGCACTTTAGGATTGACAACACAACAGGTAAAATTTACCTGAAGAAAATTCTTCTTGACCGTATTCCAATGGACTTTTTGTATGAGTTGGTGGTCGAAGCTCAAGATAGTGCCGACTCCCAACTCTCCAGCACCATTACCGTCTCCATCGAGATTATCGATATTAATGACCATGCTCCCGTCTTTATCATGCCCTCTGAGGGTGAAGTACTCACAGTTCCTGAAGTAAGTATAAACCAGACTGCCCCTTTTTGTTCATAGAGAACTAGCAGTATCTAGCAGATGTACACTTTCATATATTTTTTTAATGGGTTTAGGTGTTTTACCTGTGTTTTTTAATTGTTTGTCCTTTTTTTCTCTCTGGAATTATTGTTTTTATATAAACATAGTGGCATAAGAATTTTTCCCAGTGATTTACAATCCTGTGAATTACTGGTTGATCTTTAATTTAAATATTTTCTACTTTGTTTTAGAATGAACCAGTTGGGTATATAGTCCTTTATGTTAGTGCAATGGATGTTGATTTAGGGCGCAATGCTGAAATCAGATACGATTTCTTGCGTACAGAAGATGTTAGCCGTGATTGGGAAAGCTTCACCATCAATGCAACATCTGGTGAAATTGAAACAAGTGTAGTGTTTGATAGAGAAGAAAAAGATCTTTATACTGTAAGTATCCAAAGTATTTTGCAGTACAGATATCAATGCTGGTAAAATAATTGAGAATACATTTTCAGTTCAGATAAGTAAATCTTCTCATAAAGAAGGTCATTATTAGTTATGATTGATTGAATGATTGATTGAGTGATTGATTATTTTATTATTCCTGCAGCTTGTTGTGGTTGCATCAGACCAAGGCGTAATTCAGTTGGCAACACCACATGAGATAACTGTATTGATCTCTGATAGAGATGACAATCTTCCAATGTTTGAGCAGCTGGTAAGTGTCACTACTCAAACTGAATAAAATTATATTTTTATGGAAACATGCACATAAAATGATTATTATTAATGGAAGTTAATTCTCAAAAACATTAACATTATCATGATAAAAATGGGATTTTTTTTCTGGTGGGATAGTTCCATTAGCAATCTGGTTATATCTCTTCTTCCAGGTATTACTCACAATAGATTTTTTTTTTTCAATTTAGAAATGAACGAGTTACAATTTTCAGTATACAATATTTTGGATATGCTATGCATTCCTTCAGTAACACAGACTAAAAAAAAAATCGCCCTAATATTACCCTTTTTTTTCTCAGCATCACTTATAATTTTGATGATTTAGTAATAAGTTGATATACAGATTGGTTGATTGATTGATTGATTATTTATTAGGTTGCAGGTGTACCTACAGTAGAAACAATGGATGTTGATGAAAACTCACCTGTTGGTACAGTCATTGGTGTTGTTCCATCAGCTGCTGACAGAGATACAGATGTGTACTCTAAGACTTACTACTACATTGTTGGTAAGTTTGTAGAGGAACATTCATGCAGACATGTATGTTTAAAATGGATGCAGAATGGCTTTAGTTGATTAACTTTCAATAGAAGGGCCCATAAGCATCTCCTGTTTATTGGCAAAGAAAATATTTCTTCGTTTTGATTTACTTTAATGTACAAAATAAGCAAATAAAAATTATTATTTTATTCAAATAACAATGTCAGTATATTATTAAAGGTGTCAGATTCATATTATGCATGAATTAAGGTTGTTGTTCCACAAAGCTTGTTTTTCCATTTTGAAAGTACCAAGACGTCAATTGTATTTTCATGATGTCGGAATCTCTTAATTTTTCAGAAGGAAACTCAGAAAATCTATTTTCTATTAACAAAACAACTGGCCAACTGACTGTAAATGGTGAGATTGATCGTGAAGTGAAGTCTTCGTACCGGATTGTGGTTAAAGCTAGCAGTGACAGCGACTACACAATCTCTGGACCCTACAATGTCACCAGTGATTTTTCGTTAAAGGAGATTCTAATTAACATCAATGATAAGAATGACAATGGACCCAAGTTCACTCAAAACCCATACTTTGCAGGTAAATTACAGTTGCATTCATTTAATCGTTATTAATATTGTAAATTTTAAGTTTTGGGTTTTTTTTAATTATTTTTATTTTATTTTAGACTTCAGTATATTTTGTATAATACATAATTTTAACATACAAACCATAAGTAAATGTGCAACAATTAAAAAGAAATACAAAGTAGGGATATGACCTTAATTTAAATAAAGAAATTACAAAATTTATAATACCTGATGTAAGGATAACTTATGAAAGTTATAAAAACACCATGCATCCAATGGGGTCTTTCAATTTGACAATACGGTACTTGGAAGCTAATTTTACTTGTGTTCTGTTCTATGTAACATTAAATTGCCGAGAATATTTTAAAATATAAAACAGAAACATTTGTCACTGATTATACATTGGAAGAAGAGTTCTTTCAAACGTGCCCTGATTCTGTATTATATAAAAAAAGTCCTATAAAATGAGCTATTCAAGGAGCTCAGACACAATTAATAATACACCATGGATATTCTTCTGACATGCCGTAGTGCATTAAGATAGCAAGACTGAAGTTTAAGTTTAGGGTCACGCCAGTTCAACCAATCAACCGCTTGGAGGTTGTCGGAAAAATATTCACAGCCTTAATAATATCCACATTAGCTACTAGAATGACAAGAGTCAATAATGAACTTCTTTGGATCCTAACAGCTGTTGCCATTGATGCTACTGTGGGAAAATCCATAATCCGTGTGTCTGCGGTGGACGCTGATGTCGGTGATGAGACCATCTTTTATGACCTTACTTACAGCATCATCTTTGATAATTCCATACCTCAACAAGCTCCGAATTATTTCAGTATTGATAGAGCAACAGGGCTGATATTTCTGAACAAGGAATTGACATCTGTGAAGACAGGCTATTTTGAAGTTGGTCTTCTTGCTGAAGATGCTTCAAATACAGATCTTAAAGACATGTCTGTTCTTCAGGTATTACTTGTTTGAATTCATAGGTTTATTTGGTGTATCTGAATGTCAACTATTGCCAGTGGCTTCTTAACTAGAAAACCCCTCAAGAATAATGTAATCATCCGTGCCATCATGCAGTATAGCTATGCTAACCACCATCTTATCATCCTCATTCCCTTTTCGCTGTAACTGAGAAAAAAGAACTAGTGATAATTTGTTGTCACCTGCAATTGGAGAAACTTGCTTTCGCACATTTTGAATGACTCGCACTCTTTGTAGATATTTTGAATTATCAGTTTAAATTTCAGAACAGTAAATGGGCACAGTGGATTCCAACAGACCATTTTTTTTTGTAATGATCTTTGTATTGAAATACAATATTTATTATCAGATAATTTTCGAGAGTTTATAAGTTTAAAATTAATAGAAGTATATTATTTAATGTGATTACCTTAAAATTAGGTAAATCTTCTGAAGAAAAGTGAGCGCATCATACTGATTGTTGATGCCAGTGTGGATGTTGTCAGAAGCAAAGAGGTGGAGCTCACTGAGTAAGTACATCATCTTTATCTATTTTAACAATTCATTTTGTTTTAAAAGAGAACAGTAACTTGTCATTCAGTCCCAGAGTAGAGGGTTCACCCTAAAAAATTTAAGATATTTTTGCTCATGTTGAGACTTACTGCAAAGTATGTTATAGAAATGTGGCACAGCATGTATAGTGTTAAGCTTTTGATTGACAGGTCTTTTATCTGTAAAGCGCTTAGAAGCATTGTTTTGCACTAAGCACTCTATAAGACTAACATTCAAGATCAATACCCTGGTCACGTTACTTGTGATCTTGGTCAAGACACTTTTATGTACATTTGCCTCTCTTCAGCTACCTGGGCAGAGGTTTGGATTGTACAGGAGTAATATTAATATAACTGCTATTTTATCATACTTATTCATATTATTATTATTATACAAGATATGGTAAATAAATCTGTCTCATTTTCGACGTATTCCTTCGTGTTTTGAAATGATTTATTTTGTTTTTATGGATAGCAATAAATATTATACTTATACAGAACTTAACAACATTTATTTGTTATAATAGTCTATATCACAAGGAAAGTAACTGAATAAAGCAATTTTATATCATTCTGCTAACTTCCTTCCAAACATAGGCTGCTGTCTAACATAACAGGTGGCATGGCAGTAATTGACAGCATTGAAACCTACATTGATGCAGATGGTGTGGCCCACCTGGACCAATCACAGGTGTCATTCCATGTGATCAATGAACAGACAGGTGCAGTGGAAGATGGGGCAGAGATCGACAAGTATGTATCAGTTAACTATTATGTTGGAATTTGTTATTATTATGATGTTGGTATTTGTTGTGAATTATCTTGGTTTCAGCTCATAGATGATCTACTTATCAATATATCATATATAATTTATTCAATTCATTGTTACGCTCCTTTCTCTTCGTGTTTGATGTTCTCCACAGTATTTTTGTTTCTATTAATATTAGTTTTTCTTTATATGTTGTTTTTCGTCCTTTTTTCCATCTTTCTTCATCTCATTTGTGTACCTTTAGTCTATTGTAAGATGTAGATAGTAAATTTTAGTATCAAAATCCATTATTAGAAGTACTGTATTAGTTGATTAGGTGACGTTTACAAAATTAACTCACTTAAAATAAATTTCAATAATTTCAGACTAATCCAAGCCAACTATTATGAAATTCAGAAACTTTTCAGCATTAGTGAATATTATGTGAGTATTTTATGTGTTATAGTTTTATTGATATATTTTATTTAGAAAACTGTTAATAATGTTCATGAAAAGGGTAGTTGAATGACTGATTGATGTTCATGGTAATGGTAGTCAATACAATTTGTTTTGTTTAAATATCCACTCGTTGTATCAACCAAACAGTGCAAAATCGCTGAAAATCAGCCCTTTTTCTGCAATTTTTTTAAAGCCACCTTCGTTAATATTGGATGTTTTTTGCTGTTTTTGTAACGTGTTCATTATTTTTTTTAGCTGCCATATCATTTTAAATTATTAAATTAGTGATGCAACATCAGAATTTTTGAAAATATATCTATCTGTGTTGATCTATATCCTATTCTGTTGTTGGTGTGATTTTATAACATATATTCCTGCACAGGCGCTTTCGGAGATTACCGGAGGAAGTGGTCTGGGATTCTTTGAGTGGATGTGGCTCATCCTTGCCATCCTCATCTTCTTAGCTGCCCTCATTGCAGCTCTGCTCCTGTGTTGCTGTGTTAGAAGGTATGTCAACTCAACTACACTTTAAACTCCATATAGATACCAAAAAAGAGTTGAACATAAAATTAAATGCTAAATGGTTGTTAAATTGCTTAGCATGGTGAAGTTGTGTTGAATTTTGAATTGGGATATTTGTAGATCATTATCTCTGTGCTTGTAGTACTGGTACGGTATAGATCAGTTTACTAGTGCTGTATAAATTATTTGATATATTCTATTTACAATATTTCATTAACTGTGTATTTTTTTAAAAACCCAAAGGTTTTTTAAACAACAAAGATGTATTGTGACAGGTTTTTGCTGATTACAATTGTATTCTTTCTGATTGATATATTTTATCCATAAAATTAAATCCCTCCCCTACTCCAGAGTCTGAATTGTTTAATTCCCAAACAAGTATTATCGTTGCAGTTTTCAAGTCTGTCCTTATTTGTCTTTTGATTTTATTTTTTGTAGGAAAAAAGTGGCTAAGAATGAAGATTATCGCTTGGCATACTGGAAAGGGTAAGTAGAGGAGTATTCTTCATTGACAGTATCCTATAATGTGTTGAGATGATGTCATATAATGTGTTGAGATGATGTCATATAATGTGTTGAGATGATGTCATAATGTGTTGAGATGATGTCATATAATGTGTTGAAATGATGTCATGTGTTGAGATGATGTCATGTAATGTGTTGAGATGATGTCATATAATGTGTTGAGATGATGTCGTATAATGTGTTGAGATGATGTCGTATAATGTGTTGAGATGATGTCGTATAATGTGTTGAGATGATGTCGTATAATGTGTTGAGATGATGTCGTATAATGTGTTGAGATGATGTCGTATAATGTGTTGAGATGATGTCGTATAATGTGTTGAGATGATGTCACGTAATGTGTTGAGATGATGTTAAAAAAAGACAAAAGATGGTGATGGCTGTCACTCATCATCATTATTCAATAATCTTTCCTTTTTTTGTTCATTTTGTAAATACTTACCTGGATAAACCATCTAATTGCTCATGATGCCCCAAGACTGACTGTTCTATTTTTTCTGAGGGGTGTTCCAGATTTTAGGAACAAGGCAATTAGTTGATTTATCCAGGTAAGTATCTCAGTCATAGACAACCAACATCACAATTGATTTGTGTAATTTACAGGAAGAAGGTTCGCAAGGTTGATGAGTATGGTATGGATGTCTTGAGTAGGTAAGTTATTTTCTTGTTTTTAACGTAGTCAACAACAAGTGGAGTTCTGAATACAACTATATACATAGTTTAGTATCATGCAGGGCTGGAAAAAGTGCACAACCGGCGGTTGGAGGCAACATGAATGTCCCGGAGGGATTTTGGGAGAAAAAATTTAAAAAATAAACTGTTGGGCTATACCATGGCTATACAGTGTACAGATACATTTTGGTGCTAGCAGGCATTTGAGGCATGTTGTGGCAAAATGGCCAAGTTGTAGCAAAAATTGAAATTCAAGTTATTGGTATTTTCAGATACATGAGTATGTGATCTTTAAAATGAGGGGTCATTCATTGAAATTGGACATTTCAAGCCTAAGTTATTGGAAAGTAAAAGTACAGTACTCTTAGAATCAAGATAAACATGATTTTGAGCAATTGCCTTTCAAAGTTATTTGTGCATACATTGTTTAATAGAATGAACTATCAAAATAACATTAAATAAACAATTTGTTGACCATTTCCAGAACTAATACTTTGGTACATGATTAATCAGACATTAAACTGTGGATCTATAATGAAAAACAAATTTGAATTTTTAGGCAATTTTTTGAGCTCCCATATTTTATAGGTCATTTACTCAATACTAGCCTGTGCGACAACTTAACCATTTTGCCACGACATGCCTCATTTTATCGAAACAATTTCCATGGTTGGAGGCACAAACATTTTTTCCAGGCCTGGTATTATGTGATATATAATTTGATGGCATTTAATCAAATCATAAAATACCTTGGGATTAATGTGTAGTATATTGAAAAGTCAAAATATTAAACTAGTTTTGCTTCATAGCATTGTTGATCAAGCAACCGACCGGTTATCAGAGGGTATGTCGTTTAATTCCTGTGAATGGGAAAAGCTGTTCTTCCACCTCTGTTATGTATATAATGTCTGCTGTAGATTTTAATAAATATTTAACATAATGTTGTTAAATAATGATTATTTTTTTTTATTACCTTTTTTTTTGTAGTGACTCTGGTATAGGAAGTGATGAAGCCGATAGAGGTAAAAAGAATCTCTATGAACTACAGGTAAGTGTCTTTAGATACTTAGAATATGTTGATACAAAATTGATATGAAGTGATATTGCCATATATCTAAGCTACTCTACTGATATTAATTGCGACAGCTGGGATTGGGTAACAGTGTCCAAATTGAAACTAATAGGTAACATGGGTTTAAATTTATTCCTTATAATCATAGGATGCATATCCTGCACTGTATAATGAACAAACTTAAACAATTTTTGTTAATGTTGGTTATTAACTGTATCTAAAGAATTAAAACATTGAATCGCTCATTTTTAAGATCGAAATCGAAATGTTTTTACTACATTATTAAATTGATTATTTACCAATTCAAGCATTTATGTAGGGATATAGAAATAGTAATATATGTGGCGTTTTACTTTTTTCTCATTCTAACTTTGAACTGAAAGCTAGAAACAAAATCAGCAATTCTTAATTTTTATCATTACTATTATTATTGATATTATGTTATAATTGCTAGTTTTTGTCACTGCTTCATGAACTAATTTAATTCATATTAAACAATTTTGTACATTTTCTATTATAAAAACTAAAACCATTTATGTTATTATTAGTACTAATACATGTGGACTGTCATAGGAATCACAGATCAATTAGTAGACAGTAGAATAATTATGATTCATTATATTTCAATTGTTAAAATTTAATCAAAATCTAATTTAATCTTTGACATTCAAGGAGGTTACATTGAACATGGACAATGACATGAAAGACAATCGCCAGATCCAGATGACATCGTTCATCACACCGAGTGGTTCAGCTGGAGGCTACGCTAACAGAGGATATGAACGATTGGGAGAGTCAGTGAGCACTGGCAACATCGCTGTATCATCCGCCGCAGGCGGGTTGTCCACATTTGCTGCTGTGGGGGGAGTCCATGGTGTGTCCAATGGCGGCTTTCATGGTGTGACCAATGGTGGGTTTATTCATAGCCAACAGAATCTTCAACAGAATGCTGGATTTGTTCATAGTCAACAAAATCTTCAACAGAATACTGGATTTGTTCATAGCCAACCGAATCTTCAACAAAACGCTGGGTTTGTCCAAAGCCAACAAAATCTCCAACAGAATGGCGGAATAGCCAGTGTTCACATACCGGGCCAACAGAATATAGCCATCAGAAACATAAACCCAGTATCTACAACCACCTCTTTTTCCTCGCACAGTAACTTTGGTAACTATTTAGATGTCGGTGGCACAGGTGTTAGATCAACAAGACATTCGGCAGGCAATCTCAAGAGGGTTGATTCTGAAGACTCCCTGTTCAGCCAGGGCTCTGTTACTGTTAAAGTTGGAAGTCCTAGCAATCAAGGTCCAACAGTTCTGAAGAGTACACACTTAAAAACTCCTCTGTCAAGTGATTGGCAGCAGTCGTCAACCATCCATGTTCCTGACCAAGGAAGTGCACACAATGACAGCTTCCTCTCGGCCAAGAGTGAACCAAATTTAGTACAACATCCGAATGGATTCCATAACAATTCATTGAAGACCAGGGTAGAGAAAAGGAGCGCATACAAAGATGGCAGTTCTGTCCACGAAGAATATACACGAACTGAAGAAACGTCAACACGATTGCTACCTGCAACCTACGTCGGCAACAACCTGGGTAGCACGTCGATGCTTCAGAACATGCATTTTCACGACATATCATCTGATGAGGACTATGATCCAAAAGACAGATATGCATACGCATACAACGTAGAGGAAGATCGACTTAGCTTCAGCGACTCCGATCTTCAATAGATCTTTCAGTTATGGTAATCATAACTTTATTTTTTAATGCAATTTGTTAAAAAAATATTAATTTTTTTATTGCTAATTAGTAAAGTATATGTCTAGCTATGCAAGTATAGTATTTAAACAATAAGGATGTACGAGATATTTTTCCTACGTTAAAGAAAAAGTGCTGTTTCTGCTACACTGTATATTCTCCACACCAAATACTGTATATTCCTTTTTGTGTATTCTGGGTATTTAGGGCTGCCAAAGCCTACGTATTGTGATCAGCTGGTAAAACGCAAACATTTTGAGATTGCACAAATCACTAAGCTTTGTAGAGACAGTATATTTACAGTAATTCTTACCCAGATCAAACAAAAATTTATGCAAAAAGTAATATTTTTTTAGGAAATGGTGCTTGTTTACTAAGACCCACAATTTTGTTTGCACTGTATTGAACAATTCAAGTTTTTGATCCAGCTTGAATATATCTCGTAATAAATCAAAATTGATATGCCCATATTTGGGTGTAATTTACTTCATTTTGCCCATATATGGGCACATCTCACAAATTTGTCACATAAATTTTGATAGTGGAGTTTACAGTAAATGTGTAAGACTTGGTTGAGACTGGCTGAAATAAGACTTTCCCCATTTCTATTTGTAGTTCCATGTAGTAGTGTTACCATGATTGATTGAAAGGGGAAAGTATAACTTACTCCACTAGATGTCTCTGTATTTTCCCATAAGTTCATTTTTCATTCCAGTTTCTAAAGAAACCAAATGGAGTATTACCAAAGTAATTTCTATTAAAACATAAATTATTGGTGTATGTTAAATTAATATGTATTTCTGTACATCAAACATATGAGCTGTGTTACCTATGAAATTGTAACCACTGAAATAATGATAGTGATTTGCAATTACTGTACTGCATAATACACAAATATTTATTTTCTTGAAAATGTACTAAAGTTGCAGTAGTGAAAAATCCTGTCCAGTTTTATTTTTTCTACTTTATTTTGGGAGGACTGAAGGATTTCAAATTTATATGCGATATATTTTTTATAAAGGTAAAGGGAATGACTGATATGGTGTATGTATAAAGTTACTAATATTTTTTATATTTTTATAGTAGGCCTATATATTGGTAAAACTAAATTTGTGTTTATATTTTAACAAGGCTGAATATTTTCTGATGAATACAGTAACTCACTTAATAAAAAACTTAAAATGAGATGAAAAGATAGTCCACTTGTTTTTATTTCATAAAAACGAAATATAACATAATTATACAGTACTGTTTTTCCATATTTTCTATAAAAACAATATTTTCTTGTGTTCTAAGATAAAATAAACCAATTAGTATACTATACTAAAGACACTTGATTTGCATCTGGAAGAGCCCATAAATAGCAAATGGATTAAAATCTGATAAACCTAACATTCCATCTCACAAGTTCATAAATACAATCAATAAATATTTCTGAAATTTTTCTTTTTGTTATTCCAGTTGTTAAATATAAGTATTGAATACAGAAAGAATAAGCAAACAAGATTTTTACGAAAAAATAAACACTTCACAAAGTGAGCCTCAAGTGTTCTGTTAGGTAGAGGTCAACACAATGTAAGAAATTCATGTTAAGGAAGTGGGTGAATAGAGCAATACATGTTCAGGGCTAGTTTGCATATAGCACAGTGATGTTGAGAGCACAAGTAAATGGAATTCAGATTCAGGGCTACCTTGCAAGGTATTCATGACGTTGAGGGTTTGGGTACACGGAATACAAATTCAGGGCAACATTGTTAAGCATTCAAGATACTGACGGCTTGAATGAATGAAATTGAGTTGCACCACACTAGCTGTTTTCTGTCCAGAGTGTGTTGAATGTTGTCAGCTAAGATGCGACATGTGTTTCAAAACAACAGCATTGGCATCTAAGTAAACAAAAAATATATGTAAATAGTATGGTGGAAAGCATATGGAGAGATATCTGAGGATGTTACATTTATATCAGGAATTGAAGGATGAATATAGGCTTATTAAGATGCAAACATGTACAGTATACTGTACATACTTATACATAATAATAAAACTTACAATCTTCATGGACAAGACGATTTAAAATTAGGCCATGAAATATTTCTTCATCATCTTCATCTTCAAAATCGATAGGCTGGTATTTCCTAATAAGTACATAAAAAATATCAACGAATAATAAAAACACTATAAAAACATGTATCTGCCTCAAAATACATTATTGTTTCAATATTGTTGATGGTGTATCTAGAAGTCTTAAAATGGAGGTGGGGGAAATTGACGGCGAATGATGATTAGGTAAGGTGATGCAGAAGTGCCACAATTTTAAGTTCTATTTCGTTATTAGGTTTGCTCACCAGCCAATCTGTGAACGACATCGTGGACACCGGGTTATCTGCCACGCTGTGTCCTCAAACCAAGAATCTGACCGGTAAACCTGAAAAATTAATTATTTATTCTAACTGTGCGATAAACTTAAAAAAAAGCAGAAGAAAAAGAACCCATTCAGGCACAATAAATGAAGTAAGCTTGACAGGCCAACTAAAAACAAATCACAATATAATATATGAGTTCAAATTGATATTGGTACCAGGTATTGAATGTCTATTCTTTGAACTATGATTACATGTCATGAAATAAAAAATCAAGCAATTAACTGTACAGTACAGGGGTGGATCCAGGTGTCTGAAAGTGAGGCAGATTGAGATAAAACTACCCTGGGGGCATGCCCCCGTAAAATTTTTATTTTATAGACTGCCGAAAATAACCTCTGAGGCATTATGGGCGATCAATTTTTTTCTTTTCTTGCCACATTTTTTAACTTTCCCAAAGAGGGTGGAGGGCACGGGGCCGGCCTAGTCACCCCGCCAAATCCACCCCCAAATCCGAATCCAACAGCATATTCCTGTTGAATAGTTTTATGTTACTATTTTAGATTACCCAATGTTATTTTGTTACCGTGTCAGATTTTCCATTTTGTTGTCAATGGGGCCTGACCCAGTAATGACACTGGATAATAGGGAGTTTTCGACTGCTCGAGCATAATGACATCACTAAGAAGTCATCCTGTTAAAAGTTAAAAAGCGGTTTGGCACAGCGGGAATCGTTTAGTCTCCCAACCTTAAGGTTGGGTTTTCAATCCCTCGCTGTACATTTTCGCTTATGTCCTTGAGCAAGGCACTTTATCTGCATTGCTTCTCTCTACCCAGGAGTATAAATGGGTACCTGGTGGGGTTGCCTTCTCCTGCGCTGATTACTAGAAGCAAATTTAAACATGTGGACCCAATGATCAAGGAAAAGCACTACTTTCTATCTACAAAGAAAAGGCGCTATATAAATAATAATAATAATCCCCATGCTAGAACGTATCTTTTGTCATCTGGATTCTAGGATCCAATTTGGCCCAGAGCTATGTTGTGCTGCGAGAACGTAGGACGGTCATGCATGAGTGAATCTGTTCTAGCATCACATCATTTCGCAAATCGAAATCTCCCTAATGTCCGATGGCAAAGTGAGGTCTCCAACAAGAGGTAAATAGAAGATGTGCATTATCCTTTCCGCTCTTATGCATGCTGTCTCACGTCAACAACCACACACCCACAATATTATTACTGAACTACTGATAATAACAATTTGTTGCATTACTTTTGGATCAACTTCTACGTGAGCATCCTTCGCTGTGATAACCTCAAAAGCAGCTCCTGCAATGTAAGCAAAATTTGTTCATACGAGATATTTAATGTAGTGATCGCACCAATCAGAAAAATCTACAACAATCTTGCCATCCCAAAACCAGCATCAGTGACCAAAAAAAAAAATTAAAATAGACTTTTCATTATTCTTATTCTCCACATCGTAAGCTTTAAAATGATGGGTCATTTACTGAAATTGACTTACTATATTGCCAAAGTTATGAGTAAAAGTATTATAGCTTCTCTGTACTAAAGTACACAATGCTGCCACATTATTATGAATATGCTAATTACTCAGTTCAACAATTGGCAACAGTACAGTATGCTGGTTTTGGGATGCCATGCCTCATACAATGAATTGCATGGTTTTATAAGTAATATTCTATTATAACAAGAGCGAACGCTCACCAGGTTCGCGCGTTCCTTCAGGCTTAAATACGGTACAGGCACTAGTTTTTATATTGGGTTTTTTTTAAACAGCTAATGAGATAGAAATTTTAAAATAATTATTAATGTTTATTTGTACAAAAAAAATATTATTTATAATGTTTACTTGTACAAAATTAAAATATCTTAAAATTAAAAAATAAATAAAATTTCTTAAAATTGGAGAAAAAAAAATTGAATACAAGACACGATTTCAAGTCACAACCTTAAGTTCTTTAGAACACATCCTTAACCAACCAGTGGCAATGGCAGTAATGTACAGTCCTTGCTGAAACCCCTGTTTTGTTTTGTAGGTGTAGGGGGAACCCTGGGGTTCAACTTTAAAAAAGGGCGATGAACGTTTGTTGTAAATCACCTCTAGTTTATGTGTACAAAATTTCCTGAACGTCTGTTCAAAATTGGTGACACTGGACGCTTTTAAAGTTTTGGTAACAAGAACAATTACGACAATGAGGCTCAGGGGTCAGCGCCTTGCATGGACCCAATTATTATAGGATTACAACTACATTTAAATTATGAATAGTACATCAACATTACAACTGCACTGATGTTGCAAAATACTGTTAAGATCCCACTTCATCAAAATCAGCAAAAATACTCACTATTGGGGTTCTGTAGAAGTTGGACAAGAATATCAGGCACTCCAAGAACGGTGTCTTCACGTTTATTTAAAAATGTTTTCGCGGGAATGTTTTTCAGATCACTTGCTTTTACTATATCATGACCACAGGCTCGACATAATAACACATCTGAAAAAAATAATTATCAGGCCTAGAGCAGTAGTTAAACACAGACAACACAATAAGAAATTTTAAATAAATTAAAACACAAGCTGTACCAGCTCTATGAATAAAAAGTCACATCAAAACAATCACTCAAAGTTTACAATATAAAAACACAAAAGATGTAGAAATGGGCAATAAATATAATTAAATTACAGATTAAAAACATTTTTCATTTTATTTTATTCAATATCAAAATCACAGTCGAGGACTGAATTAAATGATACAAAAATACATAAAAATAAAAACTTCAAAGGATTAATTATATTAATTAACAAAATACATACTGTACAGACATTCAGAAAAAAAGATTAAAAACATTAAAAATTGTATAAAAATTGGATCATTAAAAGAAAGTTATTTATAAAAGTATATGATTACAGAATAATATAATAATAATTATATTATACAGTATAAAATTAATTACATTAATAATAACTTGAGGGTGTGTTCGCTCTGATTACTTACCCTCTAGTATGTTAAACATTGTGATTAGTTTTGATAAAAGAGAACAATTATTCATGACCACTAAAACAAGACTGGCCTAATTACAAACACATACGGGTACAGAAATACACAAAAATACTACGGACATACATCATTAGGTCTAGACCCATATGATTATGTAAATTAATAAGTCTACATAGTGTCTAACTGTCCAGGACAATGATTTTTCCATCATGACCTTTGGTTTCCCCTAGACAACTAAAGACTAATCATGTAGTTCAATGATAATATTGTGCGAACCAAGAGTGACCTGTCGTTAGCTGACCTGAGATTTAAGCAACCCATATTCTGTAGGGGTGTCGGCTAACTCGTACATGTGCCAACTCGTACAAACTTTAGCAAACTCCTACACAAATTTAGGCGAACTCGTACTCACGTTTTCTGATCTCGTACACTTGACTTTTGGCGAACTCGTACCCAAATGCATTTTTGATAGGGTCAATTTCTTCTTTTTTTTCTATTTTTTTTTTTCAATTTTGTGTGGGTAAGCCATCTATGGTATGAGTTGGCATGTGTACAAGTTGGCCTGTGTATTCTTTTGCACTTAAGGCAAATCAATAGGTGCTATGGAAATATTTTTTTTACTATATTTGAAGACTAAATTCATACTAAATACATGTGACCCAATTTGTGTTGTTAATTGTAAGAATGGTTGAGGGCTAACTCAGCTGCTAAACACATTGCTTATTGGCATTCCGATGTTTTAAATTTATTTTACAGTGCATTATTGAGGGCCTCATGTTTTCATTTTGTTCATAGGCTTTGAAATAAAGTGTAATTATAATATAGGCAGATGACTGTGAGAGGAGCACTTACCAGTTTTGGAACAGACCAAAATTTAAAAACATTAGTACAAGAGCAGCACACCCTAAAAATAAAACTCAAGCATGATAAACTACTGTATCAAGGACAAGGCCAAGGCATGGCATACATACCTGAAACTTGCACAAACAGTGGATCAAGCCAGCTCCACCATTCAACACCTCGGATTTATTATGTAAGATCGTCGAAACAATATCCACGGCTTATCCTACCAGTCCTGACCTAGGCTAGGCCTGCCCTAGCTAGGGCCTAGGTATACTACAGACCGAGGGCCTAGGCCACACTGAACTTAGAAGTATTAAAGAAGCAACGCATCACACAGGCCTACCTTCGAACTCGTCCTCTGTTTTATGTGCATAAGTTCTGTTAATAATTTCACTAAATAGACAAAATGACATAAAAATAAGACTAATATTGCAATCCTCACTTGACCACAACCTCCTTATCAACTGCATGATGCTTTGCATTTGCTGCTCTGTGTAAGAGCGCCACCCACACACAAAATAATTGGAAAACTTTTTGTGTCTACCAACCAATCGATCGAAACTGTTGATGAATCAATAATAAATATTCTGTTTTGTTGATCTGTGAACGGTTGGTTGCAAACAATTTACCACAATAGACGAGAAGCACTGGGCTTTTTTTTCTTCATGCCTACTGTTTCACAATCAACGTTGAATTCGATCTAAGCTAACAATACTTGTATTATTCTTCCCACAATTGATGTGTCGTTCCTTTTTTTCAGTCAGAAAGAAAATATATACAGACCTGAACAAGAGTTCGCCGTGCATCATATAATAAGTCCAATCATCCGTATTATTCATGCATTAATACCAGGTAAAACTACAGTAGGTAAGACTAACGAAGGCAAAAACAGGAATAGATATAAAATGTTATATCTTCACATCTCAAAAATGAATATTACAATTATTTTTTAGGAGTTAGAAACTACGTGCAAATTCAGATTAACTGAAAAAGTTCCTAATGGAATCTGGACCGTTATTGGGTCCGTCTTCCTATTTTTATTTTGTTCCATAACTTCACAGTAAATATTCTCAAACCTAGGCCTACTCTAGCTATTTTATTTTTTGTAGATAATAACTGACAAATTAATCATATAATGGTTTATATATGAATATTGTAATTTGGAGGGAACAATACCATGTAGGTAATAGGAATATACAAAGCTGACATCATCAAAACTGTGTTTATAGGCCAAAATGGTGCTGTCTTGTAGAATCGGATATAACTCTCACCAATTCTTTAAAATTATATTCAAATAAATTTCAATTAGATACACATCAAAACAATTTACAGTTTTTTTACGAAAACTCTAATTGATTACAGCCTTTGCATTTTTAAATTTGCACATGAACTGTATAGGACGTGGGACAATTGATATAAAAAATGATTTACTTTGTTGAGTTCCGTAGTGCACCTCATGAAAGTACTTGTTTTTTATATTAACAACGTCAACACTACTGATACGAAACTAAATTTTGTTTCCAAGTACGTTTAATGCTTGCACAAAAACGAAAGAAATGCAGAATTACTACTACATGAGCACACATATAAATTTACAGTTGCACTAAGACAAACTTGTGCAACTTTGCCAGAAATAGTTTCTTTACATTTCTATTGAATTTATTTATTTGTTTATTATACCATATTAACAGGTAACATGGAACAAACAGGAAAATTAAATTATTTATAAGTAAGTACATCATGACAGCAGAGAGTAACAGACGATGAAGTTGATTATTGATTAGGTTGAGGGAGAATTTAGTTGTAATTGAAAGGATAAGAGTGTAGAATCATTAAATTACGAGAGTAAGTTCAGGAGAGAAGTGACTCGATAATGAAATGATTTTTTTTAAAAACGTATTTATGTAAAGGTGCAGCAAGCAAATAATTTCATTTATACTTAGGCATATCAAGATTAATAATACACCACGAAATAATACAATATGCTTCTATTACATCTAATCTAATCCGGGACTTCTTATTCTTACTTAGGCCTATATTCCGTACTAAATTTTAGAATGGTTTTGCTGTGTATGGCTGTGGTTTCGATTATGCCAATTATTATGCCAATTCAGTAATACTGTACTCTCATGTGACGTCATGATATTGTGTTAAGGATCCACATGTACAGTATCAACAGACAAATAAACATGACAATAGGACTACATAAATTAATTTCATCATCCGTAAGAAGACAACTGAAAGTTAACGTCACGTTTTTCGCCTCAACGAATATGACAGATTGTTTACTTTGCGTCTATCTTTGGATTATTCGTAGAGCTCAGATGGATTACCCGATTTATTCCGATGTCGTAATTTCGAATTATACATTACAGTGTATTTATTGAACTTACACTTTTGTTACAGTGGCACTCGTCAATTGACGGTGGGTTCAAGACCAACAAAATTACAAAAAAGAAGTTATTTTTAAATTAATACTAAAAAGCACAAGCACATAATTTGAAAGCACCTTCCTTTCATAACTTGACTATTAAAAAAACAATTC